ACAGAACGAAGTTATTATTACGCATGCTCTCTGAATCCAGGACGGAGGGTTGCCTCACTCATTTGAAGACTTTCGCTCGCTCGTCCCCCCAACAAGTACACGGATAATTCTCAAGAAATCAGTAAGCCCAAAAGCAAACCCGTTCAACACCCCCTTGCAATCTTACCAATAGAAAATATCTAGAAGTGGCTAGATATATCGTTGATGATGTTCTGGTATTGACATTTACTCTTGGTCTGAATATCAGTCTGATGTACTGGGTATCAGACTAAATAAAATTTTAATCTGGTTTGGGTTTCAGTCAAGGGCTAGTTTAGCTATCTGCTTCGGGTATAAAATCTTTCAAGAAATTCAGCTATGGCGTCCTTTGAGCAAACAATTTTTTTCACGCAGGAACACCAATGATGCAAATTCAGCAAAAAAGCAAAAACAACTTGTCCCCGCCAACCTGTTTCAAACTTGAAAAGTTATCATCTTTTACATTGTTGAAATGTTGCCTCTTCCAGAAGCAGCTCTTCTTTTTGGATATGACCATGGGCATGGTCAGATTAAAAGCAGATAAGTAAATGATTCATTGAGCAGCTACGATGTACTTTGAAACAAGCATCTTCTTCTTCTATATCAGAAGTTGACGCTAGGTGTAGAATTTAAGCGTATGAAGAACACTGAACCGAGACCTCTTTCTATGATTAAATGCTATTATCGCCGAAGCCTAGTTAACCAGCAAGTTCTATGTACACCTCTGCGACAGAGTGTAGAATATAAAATATTACACTAGCGACAGAGTCTAGAAAAAAATACGGTTTAACAGCTGTAGGCCTAACGAAGGGTACCCAACAATACAGTGGTTTTGAGGAAGGCCATTATCTTCATATACTTTTGTCCATGCATAACTTGACGTAAGGTGTATAAAGTGGAAGGAATTTACCGTGTGCTTATACATTTTTCACTGAAAAAGTGAAAAGACCAAACTATAGACGATTCAACTTAAATCCCATTTCTAGGCAAAATTTGGAGGAAGGTTGGGGGGTTTTCTGAACTCTGACTAGCGACCACTTCTTTGTAAAAAACTCCCAATGCAAGCCATTTGCAGCATAAAGGGTTTTATTTCAAAGGTCCCTCGCAGAACCTTCCTAGAATATCCTCTACCTTCTTCTCAAGCCGCAGTAGTCCTTACGATGACATTGACAGTTCCAGAAATATGTTCCAAGAATTGCAAACTTAGTGGCTCTTGCGTTGAAGGCTGAAAAGGCAGACCAATCGAAAATGCCTTCACTTTCAAAAGAAAAAAAACTTAGCCCTATAGGTTTTTCTGTCAGTGTAATACCTTTTGAAGAATCATATTTACACTAATGTACACTCTACTTTATAACGGCACACTTCATAAGAACACCAAAGCTCGATTGACCAATAAACAAGAACAACGTAAGATCATGTCTAGCCTCAGATATAAAGTTGAAGCAAAAAATTATCAGAAAATTGTTTTCTTAAATTATCTCTCATACTAACAAAATAGAGTAGATTCCAGCAGCAAATTAACCGTGCTTCTAATAATAAGATGCAAAACTGTTATTTAGTGGACTTAAGAACAATTATTGTATGCAAAATTTGCAAAATCATTGTTGAAATAAAAACAACATCAAGAACACCCGAGTCACAAATTATCCAAAAAATATGTGATAAGGTTGGCTTTTACATTGAATAAATTTTTTTGATGCTTAGGTTAAATGAAACATTTAAATGTTGTACATTCAATATGCTTTATATTGAATGTACACATCACAGCGGATTCAAAGGTGCGGTCAGTTTTCTGGGTGCCCCCTCCCCAACTTTCTCCTAAAACAAGTTTTTCATTCATTCCAAGAAAGCGCTAAATGAAAATATTTCACTAAAAAGCCCAAAAATTTATTTCCTTTCTAAAATCTCATATCCTGCTCAGTAATTTAAGCTTGATTGAAGGATATAGATCACCAGATCCGCTGACTAAAAAATCAATAAACACGCCAATATTTTCCATATTTGTTTCAAAGACGATTACGAAAACTTAGCGGTCATTGTATTTAGTAATTGTGCACTGTATTTAAGCAAGTTTCTTTTAAATAAGCCATGATGACATTAATTATAAACGAACACAATTTTACCTCTGCTTCAAGGGTATCTAAGCTCATGTGCATGGCTAACTGTGACTTCAGTTAAACTACCGATATTAAAGCATTTTGAATTGAGCTATATCTTAATGATCGATTGATTAAAAGAGCTTATTACATAAAACGATGGACTTATATGTGGATATGTTTTTGTGAAACGTTTGGTATAAGATTCCCCTATGAAAAACTCAGCTAAAAGATTCGGTCTCTACAACAACACGGGAATAACACTGAATGTAGGGAACTTCTGCAGCAGATCATTTAACTTACTTGCTAATTCTAACGGGGAGTGATATTAGGTTCAAGATAAAAGGGAAAATTAATGACCCAAAAAGGTAGCATTATAGATTAGGATATCTTAAGCCCTATTTGAAAAGTTTGGAAAAACGGAAAGTTTGCCTTATAGTTTTCAGAGAAATGATGTCATTAGAAATTTTAATAACGCAAAATTTAGGATTTTTCTCTCTCGTTCATTTTGTTACGTTTTCTCGTAGCTCAGTTTAAAGCGATGATTGCGCTATTTGCTGCATCGTAGGAATATCTAAAAAAATCTTTTTGTTTTAGGATTTCACATATCACTTTATCCAATGTATTTCTATTGTTTTTAGGTTTGTATACATTCAGCCCTTGGGAGAAAAGCAATGGGCCATTAACAGCAAGTAGAGTTTGGGCAAGATGCTTGAGAAGGTCTTGTCACCTCTATCGTTTTGTCGTTTATTGAGATTCGTATAGGAAATATATCTGCTCAACATTATTTGAAATAACGCTTGTGGAAGGTTACGCCAGTGCCGTGCATTACATCGTCGTTTTTAAGCATGCAAAAAGTATGAAGTTGCAGGAAAGATATTTATCCGAATAAGGAAAGAAACAAACAACGAGATGTCGGGCCTAAAAATACTGCAATACAAAGAACATTTTCGAATTTTGACCAAGTAATCTGAACAAATATTTTGAAACGTTCTTCGTCATATTTTGATCGGAATTAACCCAAACTAGTAAATTTAGGGCCAAAAGAATTTTTCTAATCAATTCACCGGTATTTGGCTTTCAGTAAGAAAATTTGAAATCTTTCAATGGCCACATCTCAACCTATTTATAAAGTGTCTAACTGATTTTTTACAGAGGTATTCTATCGTTTTATAGGTTTTAAATATTCAAAATAAACACAATTAGGATAACATTGCCTCCCTACTCTTTTGTTCACAAGATTCTAAAACAAACGCATAGGACAAGACTATAGGATTCTGGCTTTCAAACTAGAGTATAAGACGATTGGCTACTTTCAAAATGAACGTAGAAGAAAATGCAGAAAAATAACAGCGCTGACTGTTGTTGATAAGACATTTCAGGAACTTATTTTGGTAAAGAGGAGGAAATTCAGTAAGAATCACGTGATTGTTGATAGCATGTACAAGGGGTTAAAATACTTCGTCAGTGGGTTTGGTTGAGGTATGAAACGAAGGAATTCATAAATGATGGAAAATATTTTGAATCATTGTATGCACCAGCTTTATCAAAGAGAATAGAAAAATGCAGTCTCTCTATGGAAACAATTGACTAAACATAATCAAATTTGGAAAATACAAGAAACAGCGTAAAGCGAAATCACACAGGCAGCGCAATTAAGCTGTCTACGAGAGGTACCCGCAAGGTTCATCATTTGGGCCACTGCTGTTGAATATCCACTCTAAAGATCTGAGATCATACTATCAAAAAATTGAGATCAACTGTGTACGCAGATGTGTGTAGCTATATGTTTAGCTACACGTATTCAACAGGAATTGATCTCAAAGGTGGCTATTTCAAACGTGTCAGTTGATTGATATTCCACCTCGTTCAAAAGAAAGGACCTTGGAGGAGTGCAGGAGGGGCTTCCTTCCTTTTAATTGACAACATTCAATTTCTATTGACAAAACCTTTTAACGAACTTAACCTTAGAATACGAGATCGTCACCATCATACCTATTAACTTGATGGCTGCTGATGAATTTATGCATCCCCTATGTTATTGTTACGTACATACAAAGAGAAAGCCAAAAGAATGCCATAAATTTGGAGCTATTGTGAAGAATAAAGAATATATGGCAATGGTTTTGTCGGGGAGAGGAACAGGCGAAGTATTCCTAATGAGTGAGCCATTCCTCTTCCCCTCTCTTGCTTTGGTTCCTTTGGCAATAATTAAACGAGCATAACGCTACAGTATCTCTGTGGCAAATTTGATGCTGGCATAGCCTAGGCCTGTGAGCATTATGTGAATCAACATAAGCGGAGAAACACCTATCACTGATTTCAAATATGATTCAAATAAGTGACTGTTGATATAGTTCTGACTGTTTGCGGCAGGACATTACTCGCATCACAAGAAAGCATATATCAATGGTAACTTGACCTTGGCTTAATGGAAAGTAGTACCTTTAAGCTTAATACTTCCCTCAGCTTAAATTCTCCTGGCTTATAAGAACCTGAAATTCATCACTATTTCTCTGCATAAGGACCACTGACAGTTTTCCTCAACGGTCGTCCTCCACCGAAGAAGTTTCTGATTTATAAAGAAGCATTAAAATTCAATGCTAAACTTGTAAACCCCGGCAACAATGCTACTGTTTGTTTAGAAAATTGTGCCGCTTTAAAATTAGCTTCATCGGGGGAAAAATACGGTTCTGGAAAGCTTAAATATTTTTACAAAGTTGATAACAGATAATTTCTCCTGAAGCCTACAACAGCCTTGAATTGAGGCAGAACTTGAGTAAAGGCCGACACAATATCATGGATACGTTTCATCTCTTACTGAGATAGTAGCAGCAGCACTTATACTCAACTGATATTTATTTCAAACAATACTGACTGACTTACTGTTTCGCCTGATCTTGGATCTCTTTTGATGATGGGCTGAAATATTCTTTCAATTGGAATTCGGCAATTTCTTCCCACCTCCCATCACATTCTTTCTCGATATTTTCACGAATCTCTGGAACCTGGCAGAGCAAATAAAACAATGATGTCATCAAGGGAATAGAAAATCGGACTCAGGGAAAAATTTCTTTTTTTTTGCAAAACTAAATAGGTTCGAGAGTTTATAAAGGTATTGCAAGGATACTGAAGCAAAAGTAGTTTGAAATATTGCTTTTTTTTCGGTAGTGACTTCTGCTCATTGTTTATGATTTATGAAGACACAGAAACAGGCTGCAATATAGCATAGTGTATCTAAAATGTTACCAGCTCGACTGACTATCAAAAAGAAGGCAAATAGAGAAACTGAAAAAAATCAAAATTTTAACGCCCAATTTACATCTAATCTACATGCAGCACTGCAAAGAGCCTAATAGGCATTTTATGTAAGGGCTTCATACCCAAACCGAAAGCATAAACAAAAGTTTTATGAATACCATTACATATCAGAAAGGCATGTCAATTATTCACGCAGTGGGACAAATACTAGACACAATAAATGTAGAATATCCTGATCCCCTGACAAGTCATTTATAGACTTGGTCAATTTTTGGCTCGAAAGAATTAGTTCAAGCGTATGAGGTCCTGTTGCATCATTTGCAACACTCAAAAGCAACGTCTGCGTCACTTACTAGGTAGGATAACGCTTGATGGATATGCTTAGAACTTTCGTAACGAGCGTTTTTACAATCGAATCCCCCAAAAACACATGGATCCAGCCCTCCTCACGCAACGGACTCACAAATCCTGAAGCATTTTTAGCAAAACATCGTAAACACATTAATACGACAAATATTGACACTAATATACATTTGATATCAAAACTTGATGCACAAACTTAGCTTAACAGAGGAACATTGATACATCTATTCGCTTTGTATTGATATTTCAAATAAAGCAGTTGGCATAATTACTCAAATATTTAAGTTAAAGCAATGTCTTAATAGAAGAATCAATTTGAATTGCAATCTCTCTGCCTAAAAATAACCTTGAAATGGTAGAGTGACCTACTTAAGTACACATTTATTTTTAAGTCAACCATGGTCCACTTTTAAGACAAATATTAGCAATCTACATATATCGTATCTAATTTTCTTTATTTAGTGTTTTATTCCTTTATGATTAAAAAGTTGGGCAGATGGCCCCATGATAAATGCACTCAAAGCCCTCACGTGCTTTTTCAAAGGTCGTAGTGACTATTCAATTACCTGTAACACAAAGCTTACAAAATAATCATGAAAGACTGTTTAAATTCAAATCCTAAATGAAGATCAATGGCCAGCATAAACTGCGAATCAATAAATCAATGATGAATTTACAAGGTTCAAAAATAAGCGTGGTCTCCTAATTGTTACTTACGAATTTATTTCCGTCCCGTTTTTGCATTTCTTTCGGATGTGAAAAATCAATATTTTGAAAAAGCAAAATAAAACCAACCATCAACAGAAAGATACTGAACCAAACACTGCGTGTCAATTATTTTGTTAAACAAAACTTGCCCCGGTAACATTTCCTTACAAACACTTTCAATTTTCTGCTGTTCATTTTCGGATCGAATGCAATGTCCTGGTTTTACATTATACTGCTTCCTTTCCAAGAGATGACCTGAGTAAGAATGCACTGGCTTTTGGTCAATTTGATTCTCTGTTTAGCGAAACTTTGTCTTCCTAAGTAACCCTAGAACAACTAAACCGATAAAAGAATCGAAGAGAGGAAAGAAACAGAAGTCTGCATGGCGATCGGGCAGGGGGAGCACTGTATATATGATCTGATGTCTACTGTCAAAAGCTGTTGAAAATGGTTACGGATTAATTTTCCTTTTTATGCCCCGTTAAGACGCGTCAATGTTGAAAATTGTTCAATGAATCGTAATGGCGTTTCTACACCTTGTTCGGCGCGAGGTTTTGATTTCTTGCGCGATTTTCAGTAAAATTTGAAAATAAAAAAAATTTAGAGTGGAAATAAAAAGTTTAGGGTGCATTATTAAGCAATTTAATTGATCAAGGTATAGGCAGTGGTGTAACGGACCAAAGTTTATCTTTTGCTTACAACTTCGAAAACTATGGCCGCCCAGAAAAATGTATCTTTTTTATATTAAAGCTGACATTCTGAATGTGATAAACGAGTTCAAAGGTATCCTGTATGATATACCAGTCTAATTGAAGGGAAAATCTGTTGATTGCCATCTTATGTTTCGTTAACACTGTTTACTAATGCTTACAACTTGGAGGGTCCCGAACTGAAAAATTCCTAGCTGGTCCCCGACTGCCTCTATTACGTCAATGGGTATAGGCAAAGGTTTTTAAAGGGTTTTTAACCTAAGAATAAATTGAAAAATGTCCTATCCTCGATATTTACAACTTAAATCGAATAGTTTTTGCTAAAAACTGAAAAAAGTAACTAGATCAAATTTACAGGGTGCATACTTCGCAATAGTAACGACTTGAAGCTGATACCCTCGATGATAAAGGGATGTTTCAAGTTCAAACAAGCAAACATTTTAACACACGACCATCCCCTTTTCGACGAAAAACACCTCTACTCTCTTTCTTTGAACCAGCCTTTGAAAAGAGCTGTTATGCAAGCTAACAAACGACTTACCAATTATCTTTCATTCCAAACTTTGTGCTAACTATTTTTTTTAGATAAAAAATTTCATTCATCTCCAATTTTATAATTTCTTTGATATGATTGTGAACATAGGGAACGTTTTGTCTAGGCCCATGCAGAAAAGCATGGAGACTTATAGTGAAGGAAATTCAGATTTTCTTTTTGCTGGCACAGGCGTACAATTTAACCGAAGAGAAGCGGAGACAGCCTTAACAAGATATCATGGTCTTGAAAGCCCAAACTTGAGCTCCAAAAAGCCACTTTTATCCCTTTCACTTGATATATTACGTAAAAAAGTTACTCAGTGCCAACAAATTTTACGTTGAGGTTAGTTTTCATGAATACTGGATAACCTTTGAATAAATAGACAGAGGTGTCAAAAAATAAAGCTTAAGAGGACATCAGTCCAAAGTTTAGATCGTATAGCGTCCAAAGATATTTTGCTTACAGACACGTTTTGTCGTTTTCTAAGAGCAGTTTTTAAAAAAAAAAAGAAAAAAAGGCAAAAACGCGTCCTATCTTGAAATCAATACACGAGTAAACCAGCACGATCATACTTGCCAATAAACATTAATTAACATTATCAAGCAAAGAATATTTAAATGAGCTAGTGTGCATATGAAATTGGCATGCTCAATACCAGATGGTCATGGCACCAGTTTCGATTGAAAAATATACTGATCTTGCATCATTAAATTACATTATTAAAATGACACTTCATCTTCACGGAAAGTTAAAGATGAGGTCCATATCAAGTAAAAAGGGCGGATGATGAAAAATAACAAAGAAACTAAAATTCTTTTTGAGATAAAAATCATTGTGAGAGATTTCGCCCGTTTCTAGCTCATGTGTTGCACCCGAAGAACATAAAATGAGAAGATTGTGACGGTCACCTGTGGTACACGGTCGCATTAAGTTTGGCAGCAGTATTGCAAGAGTGTGGGAAGATGGAAAATGCAAATTGATTCTTGATAACAGAAAATAGCAAATATGCTAGGGACAAGAAAATGGTAAGAATCAAGGGATAACAGTCCAAAAAGGAGCAATGGCATGACGAAAGAGTGTTTTTCTATTTACATGTGCTATCATAAGGGTTGTTACATGAGCTGTTCGGGATGGGTCGAGATGTGCAGATTTAAGCGGGGTGCTTTATGTGTGAAATGTGTTTTGTTAAACGGAATGAAAAATGGTGTGAAATTGTTTGATTTTAATTGACAGCTTTTAATTCAATTCTCTCAATCTTTTTCTTTCTATAAAGTATTTTCTGCCATTTGACATCATGAAATTCCAAATAGGCTTTATTACAAAAAAAGCTTTGAATTAAAAAGACACTTCCCTATCAAATAAAGATTATGTGTGTAGACATATATTTGATATGGCTTTCATTTGCATGCCTTCAAACGACTGAGCCATGGCTGCTTTTTGGAAAATTTTAGCATCGTTTATTCCACAAGAGCAATACATATTCAGACAAATGCTTCCTTCACATCAGTCACCTAGAGCAGGTTAAGAAACTGGATACAAAGATTGACCCAGTTCAGCATTCCAGGTAGCCAAATGTCAAGTTTCTATAAGGCGTCACAATGACTCTCTGTTTTCTGCTTGAAAAAGATTAGTTTACCGTTAAAGTAGATTAAGATGCAAACATCCGCAAAGAAGACCCTTATGCTTAAATTCTTATTCAAATCAACATAACTAAAATGGTAACTTTAAACCATGGCTTTTGCAATACACAATAATATTTTATTACGACACAAAAGATGAGCAGGAAATATTTACAGCAAAAACCTAAAGGAATTTGAAACACTTGTAAATGTTCCTATTTATGATCACATGAACAAACTTTCTACTCAAAGTGAAAGAGAAATGTTTGATGCAAAATAAAAGAGCTGCTTTGCTGTTACTTGGCACCAAGGTATTAGAACAGATTTCTTGATCAAACAAACAATAAAAGATTTTGTGACTTTATCAAAGCTCTGACCAGGAATCCTTGGACTAATGATTACGTCATAAGTCGAAATTCTTAGCAGAAAATTATTTTGAAATATATTAATGGCTTTGAAAAAAGCAAACATTTAGTAAACTAAAGCTTTTCGTCTGACACTCTTCGGAGTTTAAACGTCAGAACATAGACCAAAAACGTCGAGTTTTGTACCACCATTTTCAAGTTTTGTACCACCAAATAATTGTTTGAATATATTCATATATTGTGCTGTTTGTAAAAGTTGATAAGTCAATGTAAAAAGATATCCCACCAATATTGCTTGACGTGCCAAATATAATAGTAGCAACTTCATAGATATACAACTGGTAATTTCAGATTTAAAAGCATAAAGACTGCTTTAGTGTGAGGTATATTTGCACTAATTCGCTGTATTGCTAAGCCGTTCGCATATATTTAAAAGGCCTCATCTTTCATGTTTAAGTGCCCCACTTCAAGTATTGCGCTATAACGTAATCAGTTTTTTTAAGTATTTTCTTACATAAGATTGGTACCCACTGCAAAAATCTTATTTATACAGATGTTTGGGTAAATTGATGTGTAATTACCTGTTCCAAAATTAGCTCTCTTTTGGCAGCTACGGATTCCATAATTGACAATTCTTGTAAGTACTTTTGTAAGTGTACCAAAACAGGAATTTGATCCAGCAACGATTCATTTAAATATTTTCTCAACTGAAAAGCAGGAGGAAAATTTTTAATTAATTATTTGAAGAATCAGTTATCAAGTCTCATTGATTGGTTTTTAAAACATTTTTTTCAATTGATACTTAAAACGCATAGCCTGGGAGATGGGTTGATCTAAGGATCAAACGCCTTATTCTAAGGAACAAAAAACTTCTTCAGACAAAAATTCGTATTAAATTACAAAAACTTCTTATTAAGATCTCTGTTCAGTTCTTTATGCTGTGGATTAATAATTGAAGAACTTTCTAATAAACCATATCTGGAATTAAATCTTTGTTAGGGGACAATAAATTAAAGTATTTCTTTCTAAGATATCAAAGCAATCGAAACAAGATCACGAATTGAAAGGACAGCTGGAAGGCAGAAGAAGCAGATCGAGAATAATATGCAAGCATGTGATTAAATTCATATCTAAAAGCATAATTATCAGAACAATGCTAGCTTATGAAACCTTGAGCACTTGATTTTTCCTGTAATTCGTAAACTCGTATTTTCTTGTGGCATCTGGATTCAAAAGCAGATGATAGAGAGTTAACCAGACCTGAAGACAAGAATAAAAGGTTAATAAAGATTCCATAATTCGTTTTCATGACATGATTGGTATATTGTCGTTACCTGCTTTATCGTACACTTATTCATAATGACATGTCACCATATGCGATACTGATTTGTGAATTACTTCAATCAAAACAAAATTAGCATCAGGGTTCCCATTTCAGCTTCTTCTAATCCTACATTCATATACTTGGACTTTTACAAACAAATTTCATTTCAAACATTTGTTTGGTTTAGATCTAAAACTCTGTTTCGGTTGACTGTCTTTGGAATTTCTACATTCAACAATTAGATTCTTTTTATTATGCAAATCCAGGATTTAAGTGGGGATTCAATCTTAAGATTTTTTAATTTTTCAGTAGAATTGGCAACTAAAAAGGTTGTCAACAGAAAATAACCGTTTTTTCTTTGGATTAGATCGAAAATGAAAAAAAAGACCAAAGAAAGAAATATCTCTTCATCTATTCACTGGCCTGAAATACAGTATATGATTTGTAAGCACGTCTGTTCTAGCTCAAATAACCTCGTTTCAGTGGACTACAGATTTCTTTTACCCTATTGTCTCGATTTGGTTGTGACTGGATTTAGCTTTTATAGTAGCAAATTTTGGCCAAAGGCATTTTAAAAGTTTGGCAACCTGATTAGGGTTGCATAGAATCGTGTTTACTTTCTGGTAAGATACCAAGAGACAGAACTAAATGGAGAGAGGGTGCATGATACGTCTACTGCATTCGATGCCATGACACGAGAGGAAGGTGAAGAGTGCTCTTTGATGTTTTCCCATACCTGTCCTTCTAATTTTGGTAATAAAAAGCTATCTTCGGAAGCTACGTCTTTCCATTCTCTGTCAACATACACTTGCGATTTTCCTGAAATAGATATTGCAATAATAACTATTAATTTGTTCAATATTACCTTCTCAACAACCGGGTTTACACACCAACGGCATTGCAAAAATCGTGGTTACACTTTTAAAGGCATATGGTGATTTAAAGATGCTACTAGAAAACAGTGTTAGGACTCGATAATCAAGTCTAGCAATATGTATTTCATAAGGTTTTGATGAATTGAAAATAGAATAAGCAAACTTCTAGATTGCTGAGGTCTTTTGGTGTAAAAACTGCTTAGCTCTTGTGTTTCAAGAGGATGAATAACCACAGTAACAAGCTGATGAACAACCTAAATTTCACATTTTCACAACAGTCATTTATCTTGATGACAAAATACTGAATAAATGACCTACCAGCAGACGACAAAATTGTGCATTCAGAATATTCGTTGTTCGCTCCTTCGAAAATATCAGTGCAGTTAGGAACTTTTGCACCGATATTTGGAAACTCTTGGTTTATTTCAAATTGATAAAAACCGAAGAGTTAACTACACTTAGAAAAAAACTGGGTTAGAAACCCCAACTTTCTTTCATTTTTTATTCAAATTAAGTTTTATAGGAACAATAACTGTCTTAGGTGTATTACCCAAGGGCCTTTGATCACCTGGAAAACTTCAATAGCCTAAATTTTAAGGCTATTGAGATGGAAAATTGTTTTGTTTTTGAGAAGCAGGTAATATGAATATATTTATATTGTCGAGCATTGAGTGATGTAAAAAGAATTTTGGACAAGGCTATATAGATTAAGACATGTATAGCTACTTATAGCCGGCATCAAATGTACATTTTCATACATCTGTCGTTTTTCACACATACCGTTGTTAGTTGTGCGCCTCCATGGTGATATATCCAACACCTGAACAAGCAGACACGGAACATCTAAAAGTAAAATCAAGTGTTTCACCAGATGTGTAGCAGAAGGAGAGAAAGAAAACAATGTAAAGGTGCAGATGTCCTACGATGCTTGCAAAATTATTGTGACACCCACGTAAAATCTTCACAGATTTACAAAGATGTTTTCCCTCCTTATTAATATTCTCGAATATTTATACAGGATATTACTTCAGTAGTGATATGCATATATACATACTTTCACTTTTTTCCCAATAGTCCTGTTTCCCAGTAGCCCAGTAGCCCGGTAGTCAGTAGTTCCTTCAAGCCCCTTACGTTGCTGCTATATTCTAATATTATATAATTGCCGGTACAATTGAGTGGCATTTGAATTATAAAAACTTTTAATGCAGCAGCAACAGTATACTAGGGTTTAGCAACAGTTTATATCACTTTGGAAGATAGTTTTTTAATTGTTTAATTTAAGTCCAGGGGCTTTTTATTGTCGAACTAGAATATTGCATTTCGGCAAAAGCTTTAGCTAAAGTAGGTAAGTGACGAAAATAAAATCGTGGTTATTTTTAGATTCAGTCGACTTTTAAAAGAACTTGAAGACGCCTTTTTCTTAGCAACAGTTTCAATTTCCGATTTTTCAGGTACCATACTTAGATGTGACAATATGATACCCTTTTTATTTGGGAGACATGGGAAAGCTGCCCCCCCCCCTCTGCAATGAAGAATTTAGATAAATTAGAGAGAGCAACTTGAAAAATTTCCTTTATATATTTATTGGCAAAATGCAAAGGTGGATGATTAAAAACATAACTCTAAAAGTCGGATAATAGTTACTTTTAGGAGTCCCTAAGGGTTGCAATTAGGGGAGTCAGAGAGGACATGTTATCAAAATCAAGTATGACTAAGTCCGTATACGTACCATGTGTATTAAGCAGCCGTGTCATTACACTTAAGGGTAAGCTGCAAGTAAAACAAAGGAGGGTCAAAACAGCTTCATAATTTAGCTTTAGTTCCACTGTGTCTTGTCTCATTGTAAGTTCGCTGAAAAATTAGCTCCATTTTTTTAAGACAATGCAAAAAAGCAAAGAAACTTCTTGGAAACGAACGGTAATTCTTGGACTGTTTTTGTCAGCTTAAATTATGTTTAGATGCATTGCACTTTTAGGACTACGGAAAAACCTTTTTTTGCTATGAAATATGTCAAATCGGACAATAATTTGGTTTGTATAATTGAAATTTATGATACAGCGAGAATATCTAGCGATTTCTGTAAACTTACAGCAGATAAATTATTTTAATAATTGACAGTAGGATGTTTATGTAAGTATATAATTTTTATGAATAATAGCAATTGTGTTAAGCTAGTTATTTAAAGATCAAAATTTGCTAGCCAAGCTACCATTTCTTCAGCAACGTAAATTGTAATTATCTATACAATTTTAATTATTCCAGATAAGTAATTTTCTCCATAAAGCAGTCAAAGGATTTTTTCAATTTTTCCTCATTTCGCTTTCGATTGCATGCAACCAGTATCGTTTAGTTTGCAAGACACTTTCGGCTCTATTTTCAGATCAATGTATAAATTAGCATCGTTCAAATACATATACATTTCTGAATATTCTGTATGTGACAAGGAGATATAGTTTTGCGGTATACCAAAAATGATTCTCTCTTTATAGCTTAGAGGTTGGAAAATTTGAATGGTCTAATAATACAGAAAGGGGAAATATGAAAGTTGAATAGGAAAGCTATGGTTGGAAATATGTAATTGTAAACACGTAATATGCAAACAAACATAAGTTTTGTTTTAAAATAAAGGAGAAAGAATTGTCCAAGAATTGAGTTTTTCTACATGGCTTTCAGGCTCAAGCATTGTGGTAGTTGCATTGCGAGTGTGAATAGCTAAAGGATTTGTAGCAAAAAAGCAGTGAATGAGATAAGCTCACCTCTCCAAATGATCTGCAATATACCTAAGAACGGATAAAGCTTTAAAACTGAGATCAACTGCCACGCTTCTGCATTGAGTCTCGAGCTCCTATGAGTAATAAAATAAATATAGAACACATCGAGAAAGTGAAAGCTCCTTCTGCAAAAAGTATATAACTCTGAAGACGTTTCCAGAAAGTAAGGATCTTTAATACACAGGACAGAAAATCGAAGCTTGTGGAACTTTGTCACGCAGAAATCGATTTTTTTGCCTTGGAAAAAGAAGATATTTTAGAAACAGCATCCCGCAATATTGAAGAGCAGTAAACATGATAGCAAAGCTAGAAATTTTAAGCTTGAAATGATCTTATTCTAGAAAATACTCAGTCAAAAACAGATGGCAAATAATTTCGGTGTAATTCAATGTGGCAGAAAATGTGAATATTATTAAGAAAAATTGAAATGCAAAGGAAAAAACAAAAATCTTGAACTGTTTAATTACAAATGGCAAAAAAATAGGAATATAATGATTTTAAATAGTGTTAGATAACGTACTTAACTAACGATTAAAAAAACAGCTAGATTTGTCTACTGAGAATGAAGAGATTTTATAATTGAATAGGTTTAGTATGGTAAGAAGGCAGACTTGGGGCAATTCATTCTTGCAGGGAACGCAAAATGTTTTTATTAAAGACTGATCTTTAGAGATTTCCAAATATAGTAGGAGGGTTTTTGCCAAAGAGGTACGATATTTCCATGGAGTGAAAATTCTTCTCACCTACGAAGTTTCAAGGTGACACAGCATCATTGAAACTAGAAACATTCGATCGAGGATTCATGCCAATATCTGCTCTTAGCTTTTTTTAGTAAAAAAGAAAGCTAGAAAGCTAGGGTTAGGATCTAAGACAATTAGCCAGTATCAGAGGCATGTATTAATAATATCATCTTTATCTCTTTGCCTCTATTTTGTCGCTATGGTATTTAGCAACAACTGCTAGTCATTAAGGGTTGATCGGCTGCTGCACTGTTCCCTAAGAGGACGGGGATTAATTAGCATTGAAGAAAAACTTTGCAAATTTTTTTTTCGGTTCTGACAATTTATTTGATTCTAAAAGGCTGCAGGATCTAAAGAAAATAATTCATTTTGAATTCTATAGAATCGTAAAGCCTTGAACGTTTCGTCAAAACAGCCATGCAACTCATTTTATCATCGAGTTTTTTTCTTAAGTTAATATTGCTGAACAAATATTGCCTTAAATATATGGCCTCTAAAGGGTTCCTTTAATTTCTATTGCCTTCATAATTTCTTGAATAAATGAATTCAACAAATTTAGCTTTCTTTTTCCACCTTTTCTCCTACTGATGTATATCGAATCTTCTCTTAGTTCGTATTAAAAAATATGTGACATCTCTGTTTCGTGTGAAACTTTGTTCAAGAGCAGACGATACTGAAATAAACACTTAGTAGGCATCAGAAACCACTTATGCTATTAGCAACTTTGGTTAGTGAACAAAAAGCCTAAACATAGCCCATTGTAGAAAAGTACTTTCGTGCTTTATCTCAAAATAAATCGCCATGTTTCTGCTTTTGTGTGGTATCTTGAAAATTCGTAGCATCAAGGAAACTTTTTTTTCTTAAGATTTTAAATTATTGGTTTAAAGACTTTATGAACCATCTGAGGGCACTGCAAGATTCCTACTGATAAGTTGCATTCAAGGGCTCCAACGATCGTTTCTAAAACGAACAACAGATTATATGTTTGTTATAAGGCAAAGGAATAAAAACATTTTTCATACATCTTTGAGGATTATAAAAATTAATCATACCTCCTTTACAGATGAATTTGAATTTATTTTTCGGTCACTAGCTGCAGGTGCTTCTTCCTTCATTTCAGCCCTTTCATCATAAAAACAGTATAACATTGCAGTTAATAAATCAAAGGGATATGTAAAATAAATCTTTTTTAAGAAAATGCAGCATCAGGTAAAGATGTGCTCTTCTTTTGGCAATTGAAAATATATTTTCAAAATTAGTTAAACTATTTTTTCTAACTTAAATTAGTACAATGTTTCATTAAAAGCAGCGTATCGACTTGAATAAATTTTGACTTGGCAGAAAGCAGTAATTCATCTCATTCCACTAAGGGACCCTAGCAATCATCGTGCAATCTCGTTGAAAGATGATGTTCAAAGTAAATAAAGACTGATTGGAAGGTACCTTAACGTTTAGATATACTACTGAATTTTAGGTCCACGGGGAAAGGCTTTACGGAACCTTTAAATTTGCTTACAAAGGGATTCGTGATCTTTCAGATTTACTTTTTATCAAATAGGAGTTGGCAAAATAGCAGAGGACAAAATAATCTCGTTACCTCACAATAATCTGAGTTATTTTCCGGCAACAATAGTCTACCAAGTCAATAACTGCTTCCCCAGCGCATTCACATGGCTCCTACATAGAACATTTTCATCATAAGAAGAAAGTAAGAAAAGAGCATTTCACTCTCTTCTTTCTCTATAAAATAAAACAACAACTTAATCGACAATACAATTCTGGTCGCACCCAAAGCAGAAAACGACACACAGTCACCTAGTTCCCACTGTAGATGCGACTTACAAATGTGAACGCGCAATATACAGAAAAGTAACAACGAAGAACAGTCAGAATAAAACAGAAATAAGATTCATAAAAAAGAGGAAAATGGTCGCTGCTGTTGATTTAGCTAAAAAATTTCTAGAAAAATCTCTTGGTACGTGCGTTTCACTTTTCTAATATTATCACTGCGAGTTCTTTGTGAAATCCAGCAAGAAAGCTATAAACAAAGTTATTGATGATGAAAAAAAATTATTTTGTAGACGTTTTCAGTTGGTAACCTTTATTGTATTGGATGATAAAAAATTGACTTTAAAAGCTTTTCGATCGAGTTAGGAGCGGGGCTTGAAATTATTAAACCATGCTGAATCCAACGGGAAGGCGAATAAACAGTATTGCGATTTTACAAACGAAAACTAGTGGTGTTTACGATTTGGAAAGTGTGTTTTTATAGTCGATTGGTAATGTTAAACCAAATTGATAAAAATCAGCCAAGATACAAAAGTTTGGATTGAATACTGTCATATAGATGTAGCCAAAGATCAAACTACATCCACAACGAAATAAAATACCCCTTCCCCACTTTAAAAATACTCGTTCAGTTGTATTTGTGACCATTGCAAAGAAAAATATAAAACATTGAAAATGCATGATCAATATTTTTTAATTAGCTTTAATTAGATATAATAGCCAGACGTTGCACCTACTTTAAATTCAGAAAGAAAAAGGTGAATTTTGGAAAATAAGGAGTTTGGTGATGCCATGGGTTCCGAATAAAAATCTTATTCTTTTTTACAATTAAAAATCTTTTTGTTGTTTAATTATGCATCCTTTTGTTTTTGTCTAAGATTGTTTTTTGAAATAATGAAGAATATATAATTGGAACTTGCATCTTATCAACAACAGCAAAAGCAATTTTCTTTGTTACCCTAATAAAACTTAATTTAAAATAAAATGACAAAACATTTACATGTGCCATTGATAGCAGGGAAGGGCACAAGAACATCTGGTCCCCTCCATTGATTAAACTTACAATTCAACTGTTAGTTTCATAAAAAGAAATAAAAACACAACAACAATACAACACTTGAAAGCAGTTGTTGCCTTAAGGAGAAAATATCAAAAAACAATAATCCTGGTTTTGAAAGTCAACCTGCTGGGCTAAAGATGAATCATTTTTGTGTTTTGTACACAGAAACGTTCAGAAACATCTAGATCTCTAGAAAATTTCTATAATGCAACATTTATTTTTACTTGAAAAAAAACTTTGCAGGAATTACCTTGTGGTACAACAATGTTTCAAGTAAGCTCAAAGCAGTAGCTTCATGAAAAAACTAAAATGAAATATGAAGGAGCAATATGAATCATAAATCATTAAAAATATTGAACAAATAAGCAGAAAAATAATGCATACTGAAATTACTTTCTTCTTCTGACACTTATCATAGAACAAAAATGTCAGATGACACAAGAGGATAAGCGAAAATTTATTGCCATGAAGTATAATAGCAAAACAAAGTAGATTTTAGTTATATTCGCATCAAATGAAGCTTAAAAAGCTGTAACAGTAAATTCGGCTTTCTGTAAACAGTGCTTAATTGAACAATTTTTTGTGACTGTAGCCAGTGAGACTTTAAGTGGACTGTAAAACAGTAGGGTAAGAAACCTTAAGAAACAGTGTGGGGTCTAGAATGGATATTACTCAAATATATTGACACTGGAAATCTTTTCATTATACATCTTCTGAAGAAAATCTTAATAAACTAAACAAAATTTGATAAAGAAAAGGAAAGCATCTGAAAATTACTTACAGCCATATAAATAGGAAGTGATGAATTCTGCTGAATATCCATTTCAAGTAGCAGAGGAAAAACTTTATTTTGCCAAAGTTCAGTCGATAATAAGTCATGTATGACAACGAAAACCTAAAGTGAAAAAATTTTCATATTAATGTTCTGATAGATCAATAATGCAACAAATTCTGTTCTTAAAGATTTAAGAACTTTGTAATCTTTAGTTTTGCCAGTTGGCATTCCTTGCAAAAAATAAAGATTTTCTTTATGTTAATATTTATTTAATAGTGCAACTACAAGTTTTTTTGCTGATACAGCTAATGCTAAGGGAGTTTCAATGTGAATTCTTTGAAAGATAATTTAAAATAACAAAAAAATTTCCGGAATTGAGCACAAAGAGCTTGTGTGCTATTTTCTGACTGACCAGTGCAATTGTGGAAATAACAATTTAAAATAAACATGTTACATTTCAAAAAAAGGCTTGCTTGTGCAAGAAAAAAATTTTAGAATTAATATTCACCTTATTGTATGAAGCAAATCCTTCTGGTATGAACTCATCAGTATTTGCAGATGCACTCAAAATTGCCTTTGGAAAAATTTGGCAAAGTTAAAATATGTATTCAAAACTCTTAACCCAAAAATGCATTGATGCTACATTTCAATGTTCAAATCTGAGAGGCTGTATTTTCAGTGATAAAACTGAGCTAAAGTTACAGCTTATTGAACAGCTACCCAGTTTATGACTTTCCCAGTCATAAACTGAAGATGGAAAGATAAAAACTGAAGGCAAAAGAAAATGGAAAATACATATTAAATACATAAAGTATTTTGGTTTTTTGAACATCTTTATAGAGCAATAATGTATGTGGCTTAACAAGGTAGGATTTTAAATTGTTGCCTTTTTTCATACTCCACCCCTGGATATTACTTTGATCTTGTAAGTACAAATTTTCAGATACCAAAATTACACTTTTTTCTTTATTTTGATAAAAGCAATGCATTGTAGAAAACTTTGAAATTTATGAAACTTAATAGAAAGAAAGCATTTTTAATTTTTTCAACTAATAAGCTGATGATACAATGATGATTTTTAAAAAGACTGGGCTTCCCTCCGATTTCTTCAAGGTGGTTCATTTTACTAACAAGTTCATCCACTACAAGACTCCCCTAAGTGAAAGTTTCCTGAAAAACCACCATGGTTTGTTTAAGGCAGATAAAACAATTGAAATAAAGATCAACCCATTAGATGAACTGTAAAAAGAACCCTTTCTAGATTAATAAAAGAAAATAATTTATTGGCTTTTGAAAATACCTGCATGTTCAGCTTCTCAAGGTATTCATGTTGCAACCTCCATCTAAAAAAAATATATAAATTGCTGAATTTCATTTTATTTATGTTTCTTAGGATTATTGTTGATTACATGAATATCATAGGAAAAAATTAAGATGATAAAGTTGGTAAATTAAAATACCATTGTATTATAACAAAATTGTGATAAAAAAGATATTAATAATAGTATCATCAGTTTCAAAATATTGCTGTGTTTGCTTGGTTCCTGTTTTGATTGTAGTAACTTCTTACTCCTCATGCAATCAAAGAGTCTGTCAAAACAAGAAACAAACCATTTCAGTATGCACAAAGAAAGATGTTTTGTTGAAATTTAGACAGACTCTAAAAATGTCTGAATGGAAAAACAACTTGCTTGTCTAAGAACTTCAAGATTTATTTTAATTAATATGTGGTGGCACAACCTAGATTCTTAAGATAGTCTTGAAATGGCCTAATCACATTTCATTGGGATAGTTTGATTTTTATAAATTTTTTCTTTTCCTTGGTAGATTTTATCAATTTGGGAAACGTAGAAAAGAATAGATGAAAAATCCATTTGTTCTAATGTTTATAATCTCAAAAGACCACCTTGGAGTTTGGAAAGCCATGACTCAAGTGTGTATGTTATAAAAGTTAAAATCACCTGAAATCAACTGAAACGACCTGAAATCACCTGAAATCATCTGAAATCACCTGCAAATCACCTGAAACCACCTGCAAATCACCTGAAACTACATGTAAATCACCTACATTGTTTTCGTGAATGGGATTAAATCTATTGTCTCGCATAAAAGACTGACAATTCCACTGGTGTGATAATTCCACTCTATCGTGCGCTTTTTTACCATTCAAATACTTTGATTATTTCCCACTAGGGTGATTTTCGAGTTTTACCAAAAATAAAAGTATGCTAGTTCCTTAGAATGATCATACTTTGAATACCGAGCTTCTTTTGGTTACAATGAGTCAAAATAATCTTCATTAAAACAAGGCTAACGAAAAGCCATGACCAGGATCACTCAAAAAGCGAAACTGCTCTAAATACCATTGGTCACTTGGAACCTTTCAATGAATGATACAGTAACCAAATATCAGCCCTTGGGATCGGATTATTTCCAAATCCACTGGTTTCAATCCTGAGGTTGTGAGAACTGAGAGGTATTTTTGCAAAAGTTGGATCTCTTCTTCTTGCAAGTTAGAAAATCGGGTGTCCTAGCTTAAAGCGAGGTTAATCGACTGCAACAAGGGGGTGGGGTTACCTCTGTTTAAACAGGGGGTCTAAAGAAAATTTGTATTCATGTATAATCCTGATTTGTATATTGTTATTTAGGATTACAATTTACATTTTCGAAGTGGTGTCTACTTGTGTATTGTATGGGAACAATTGGATTAATTGCTGCACAACTAAGGTGTGATTGGGGAAATCAGGAATTCCGGCTAACTGTCAGGAGATTTTCAGGTGGTTTCAGGTGATTTGCAGATGGTTTAAGGTGATTTGCAGGTGATTTCAGGTGATTTCAGGTTGTTTCAGGTGATTTCAGGTTGTTTCAGGTGATTTTAACTTTTATAACATACAGACTCAAGTGGCACAAAAGCTGCAATAAATACAATGGAAGCCTATATCATCCAGATTTTACACTCTTCTGTAGCTCAATTAAGGTTCATTGTTAATCAACAAATTTCAGACTTCATTCCAAAAGTATAATTCAGATTTAATTCTCTATCCTAAAGAATATTTATTACCAAACTTATGGAAGAACAGCCTCTAACAAAACATACAATAACATACAATAAATGCTATCGTTTTTGCTTTTAGCAAGTTGAGTGCCCCAAAACTTTAAGTTTCAAAAACTGTAACATATTCTCTACTGGAAACTTATTATAGAACCTCATTAGTATTCTAACTTTAAACTTGGACAAATACTGCCAGCTTTTAAATATATTTTAAAGATTTAAAACAGGATGCATCTTCTCATTTTGCACAGCTCAGTGATAAGTTCAACAAGTACATTCAGTGAAATATGACCAAAGTGCCTGACCTCTAAAGGGCAAATGCTTAGAGCAGCTCATTTCCATTCAGGCGTATCACACTAACTGTGGTGATAATTGATTATAGAAGTATTTGCATGCATCTAGGAACATAAATTTAATTGGATGGCAATTAAATCCATTTTAACACCATATTTAACTTGCGCCATTAACTACTTCAAACATTGATATTTTTCATGTCAATAATGAAACCTCTTTGCCTCGAAAATACTATAGATTTCCAGTAGCATTTTTCCACCATTGCATACTTTTTATGTAGCATTGCACACTATTTTTAGAAGCTAGTTGATTGTTGGCTTGTTTAGTAAGATAGCTTTGTGGCAATTGTATGCAAAAAAACCAAAATATGAGCTGCACTTTGTTTGTCGTTGTTGCCATACATAACATTCTCTTGGCAATTCTCTAAACCCTCTAAAGATGTAAAATAATGATTTTCATTACCTCTCGTTTCCTATATCCTTTAAAGGGATAACTTTGAGCAATTCGATAAGCGTTTCTGCTTCTACAGCAGAGAGCACTGTTGTAGTTGACGCCGCCATTTTGCTTCCACATCAATGCGAGGCAAGCGGGAAAACAGTGTCCACGGCAACATCTTGTATGTATAGTTAGTTAGTCTGGGCTGTTAGAACATGAATCATGCAAATTGTGATACCAGCATGAAAATTGGTACATTGGGGTAATTTCACACGCTGATGACGATGCCGAACAGACACAAGCCGAAAAATGCCCCAAGTGCTATTTTTAGACTGGGATACTTGGCCCCAGTCCTCGAATTGGGCCAATCTCCATATGTCATTACTGATTGATGAAAAAAAGTGGGAAAGGAAAGATTTAGGTGCATTATCATACAATATTAAAATATATTAAGAGAAAAGGAAATGAAAAATTTCCCTTTTATGCTATTTTTAGAGTACGAAATTGGTACCCATGTCTCTATTTAGGCATTAATCTTTAAATAATTACTCTCTTTTATATGAATATGAAAGGTAGCTTTCTCCATTCTTTCAAAAAACTGAAAAGTAATACGAAAAGATGTAATTGACAATCTTACCCCTTGTTGCTATTTTTAGAATGGGGTACTGGGACCCATTTCTCGAATTTGGGTTTTACCTTCATCGTTTAGGCTCTAAGCACAGTATTTGACATGAATTGTGCAAATTGTGGTACCAGCATGAAAATGGGTACACTGAGGCAATTTGACACGTTGATAATGATGCTGAACAGACACAAGCTGAAAAGTGTAAGATCACGTATATTTAAATGTAGAAGGAAATTACCAGAAAAGCATAACTAAGCAAAAAATGTTACCTAAAATAAACTAATGACTACACAACATGATGTAATCCTACCTAATGAGGGGGTAATACTACAACAATAGAATGGAATGCAGTGTAATGCTGCGTGGTGCTGTGTAAGCGAAGACAGAACATTCAAGACACAAGGGGGATTTTCTAAGAATCTACATAATATACAAAATAGTTACGTAAACAAACAAAGTGTAATTGGTAAATAAATCTATACTTAGGCTGGCATTATTTTAGCTCTACTTATATGATCCACTTCTACCAATTTTATCTACTGGTTCTTCAATAATTTTATAGTTTAGAAAGTCCTGGCCCTCCTTACCTAGGCTATCGGCTCATTAGTCCTGTCGCTTCAAATTCCGCTTGCCACTGAACGTAAGGCAAGTAAAAAACCAAGTTAGTGTAAAGAAGGAAATATCTGTCTGTGATTTTAGTCGTAGAATTGATCAGAGCTTTTTCTAAGGAAAATTTCCAGCTCCACAAATCACCATTATATTTTTTGGCGTTATACACCCTTTAAGACCGTGTAGCACATCAATTTGCTACAGGTGTTGGCAGGGCTTCCAAAAGTTTTCTGAGGCTCTCGGGCAAAGCCAGAACTGGAAGCCCCTGATTTTTTTGCGACCACGTCCTTTAGATTAGCTTAAAATACATTTCAGAATATTTCCTGCAGTCAATGGAACATTTTACTATTTTTAGACATACTTTTGTTACGTTTTATTAATTCCATTAGTAAAATGGAATTCGTTACTTTATGAAGCTCCTTCGACCTCAAGGTTCTAGGCCATTTCCCTATCATTGCCTGTTCCTCCTCTCGACGGTGCTGGGTGTTGGTTGAACTTCTGTTCTTAGATATCATCTGCCTTTGCAAATTCGCAAACCGAAACCTTGTCATGTCCTACAGTTGAATTCAATAGCAAAAACTACGGCTCAGGTAATTAGTCTTGTCATCTACAACCAGCCAGGTGAATCAGCCACATCAGCTCATCGTACAATTTCCAGCATCAGTACAGTCGAAGCGTTTCATTAGAATGAAATATGATAAGAAAATAAGTAGAAAACAAGGAATGTCTTTATTGTTTTGTTTGAGTTTTCCAGCTATACAAAATTTCATATCAAGTTCCAAATTTCGAATCTTAACTTGCTTTAGGTAATTGATAAGAAAAACTCAATATCTGCGTATTTCGGCGGGTGGAAGTTCAAAGTTGAGGTTTTTTCATAAAAACAGACAGTACCCTTATCAAGGACCGCGGCGCATAATAAATTATATCTTTTTTTCTTAATCTGCCTTTTTTGGGTTTGCATTTAATTTGTATTGTGTGTAGTATTTTATTAATGTAATAGATGAATTATATGTAGTGGAATTTAATAAAATATGAAACTGAAACTGAGGGGGCTTAAATGCTTTGGAGGGGGGCTAAACATGCTAAAAGCAAGGAACGAAATTATTTGAAAGATTTTATGTAATTATTGGGGGGTAATGCAAAGCAATTATTGGGTTATGCAAAGCAATTATTGGAGGGGGCTAAAACTCTCTCAACCCCCCGCCCCCCGCGTCCGCGGTCCCTGACCCTAATTTAATCTTGTTGTGTCCTTGAGCCCCTGACCTATGATGAAGCTAAAATGATACTTGAAAGTTGGTTTGAGACGTAAAGTGGTTAAGAAAATTATCCGTGTTCGGTCGCGTTATTTGTATAAAACCAGGATGAACGGCCTATTTCTAATCTTGAATTATTGGGATGTAATTAAAGAAACTTAGACAGGAAATATTTTTACTAAAGAACGTCATATATAACGCATGTGCTTTTCCAATTTACATTAGGCTAGCCAAAGCTATACTTTGCCAGGCAAGATATACATCTATTAAAAATGTACTTACAAAAAATGTCTTTCATAATAATTTGTTCTAAAATGCTTTCAATTTTAATGTTTTGGCAGGTTATGCCAAGGCTAACGAAAACAAACTTAAAATTTACGTTGGACGGTACTTTAAATATCACCTTGCTCTTAACCATTTTTAACCACTTTAGTGGCTCATCTTCTCTTAAAGTCGTTCTTATAAAAATAGTATTGCGTACTTGACAACTTCAACACTTGTGATTATTTTTATGCTCAAAGAAATTTACAAAATACTACTAAAAATACAGTACTATAACGTATGATGCAAGGCGAAACACCCAGGGAGGGTAAATATATACTAGGGGAAACACCCAGAAGGGTTTTCATGTTTATATACACCCAGCTACATTTATAAACAGGCTTTAATTACGGAAAATATGAAAAAGAGAACTAAGACGCAAGAAAGAAATTGTATGCGGATAGGGAGGGTAGCGGCAATTCACCGAAATCGTTGTGATGCATGAATTGCCTTGACATGTGAGTGTGGTATTCATTTTTCCAGATTTCACGCTCAAATCAGCTCTCCAAATGAATCAATCAACTCTCTAAATATTTAAACACCAAAATTTATCACATCTGTCAACTTTCACGCGAAACATACGGGATCTTTTGTTTCTGATCAGTAACTATTTTCTCCTCGCAATAAGAACACGCTTTGATTCTGCGCACATTTTGAAAATCCGCCATCTTGAAATAGATGGAAAGTTAGTCGGCTTCGTTCATTCGTTTGTTTGGAAGAAAACAGGTTGGAAAAAGGCTGTTATTTTGCGATATATTTAACTGAGTCAAAATTCGAAACAAATCGTTAGTTACTGGATGTGTTTGATTTGTTATGTCATCGCCAGAACCTGACTACTATTATAGCTCTGGCAGGAGCTCTTATAGGCAACCTGACACACTTCGGACAAAAAAGCGAAGGTTCGATTCTTCTAAAGACATGACTTATGGTGTTGATCCTTACCTGCATGGTGGCTATAAGTCTTATGGACACAAAAATGATGGACGAGAGCAACTCATCGTTTCAAATTTGCCTTTGCACGCGAGTGATCAAGTGGTCAAGGACGCGCTTTTTCATGAGTTTAAAAAGTTCGGTCATGTTTCTATTTATCTGCGTGGTCGTGGCGAAGGAAGAACTGCAGCTATATCGTATCGAAACCCAGAAGACACGATTAAAGTTAAAGAGTACCATGAACGAAGAGGGAAATTTATAGTTTTTGACAGGCAAGTTCATATCGACTACGAAAATGAGTATGAGCGTGGTTCGGACCGAGGATACAGCCCAGATACGTACAGCTCTGTGTCTCCGCGAAGGAACCTTCCTAAGGGCGGTCGTTCTTCTTATCCACCGAAAGATGACTACATTCGCGATCAGCACTTCGATGATGGAAAAATTTATCGTGGACGCGAGCGTGATGATTTCAGAGAGGCCCCGAGAAGATTTGCGTATGAAGACTACCGTGAGGGAGGGAATTTACCTGCAGAAGACGACCCGAAAGCCAGTCGCACTTTGTTCGTCGGTAACTTAGAACCCAACGTTACCACACAAGAATTGAGGAGGATATTTGAGCCATACGGTTACGTTGAAGATGTTGAAATCAAAAGACCAACGCATTCACATGGGAGTACGTATGCTTTTGTTAAATTTCTTGATATAGACGTGGCTGCAAGAGCCAAAAGTTACGTTGACGGTCAATACATCGGTAGAAACGCATGTAAAATTGGTTATGGAAGGAGTATGGCAACAACTCGTTTGTGGGTTGGGGGTCTAGGACCATGGACAGGTATTGATGAGTTAACAAGAGAATTTGACAGATTTGGGGCTATCAAATTCATAGATTTTCAAAAAGGAAACAATTATGCCTATATTTTGTACGACAGCCTTGATGCAGCTCGTGTTGCAGCTAGAGAAATGCATGGGTACCCTCTTGGTGGTCCCAGCCGAAGACTCAAAATTGATTTTGCCAGTGCTGATAAAGGAGGAAGAACCAGTGGTGATTTTGATCACTTTAGTGATTTTGATCGCAGGGATGTCCCTTTTGAAAGACCTGCTGTACGCGGAAGGGGGAGAAATAACTGGGATCATGGTGGTGGTAGAAAGTTTTCCAGTGAACGCGAATTTGCACCAAGAAATGACCGAAAATGGTTCGATCATAATAATGGTCCATATAGAGACCGTATGAATCGTGGAGGGCACTTAAATGATAGAGAAATTCAAGTGGAACGAGACATCAGGCCATCTGAGGGTGATAGACCAGTTAGAAAGAGAGGGCGTAGTCGCAGTCCACTTAATGATTCTCAACCTCGTACCTCAAGACGCAGTGGCAGCTTCAGAAGCCACTCAAGACATAGTCCAATAAACCAACGAGGGCGTAGTTATTCACCAGAACGTAAAAAAGATGCTCATGAAAGGACATCCCCATCTCCTCAAAGAACAAAGAGAAATCATTCAAGTTCTAATGAAAAGGAACCATCTACACCTAAAAAGGATTCATCTGAGGAAGATCCTACTGAAAAGACGTCTGTTGTAAAACAGGAAAAAGCTGCAGAGGATGATACGGTGCCAAAGCAAGAGAATGGATCAGAGACCAATAGTAAAGTTGAGAGTATTGTTGATGTTGCAAAGAGATTTGCTGTTGCTTGGAGAGGGGCATTTGCATTAAAAACCAGTGCATTTCCATTGCGTATGCATCTCATTGGAGGGAATCCGGAATTAGCTGATTCATTATTACGAGCTGTTGGACAAGGGAAAGTTCTTAGTATTAGTCAGCGTCTACGTTTGGATCAGCCTAAACTTGAAGAGGTTTCTCGTCGTGTTAGCAATGCAGGAGCTAGTGGTCATTGTATATTACTGGCACTGCCTATTGCTCAAACTGGTTTAGAAGATTTAGATCTGGATGAGAATTTTCAGCAAAGGCCATTACGCAGTCTTGTTGTTTATTTAAAACAAAAGCAAGCAGCTGGAGTAATTCCATTGCCAAATAACGATAATAGTGCTGTAGCGAAAGATGATGGAGGAATTTTACATGCATTCCCACCTTGTGATTATTCTCATCAACAGTTGCTCAAAGTTGCTCCAAATCTTGGACCCGAGCCATCAAAAGAGGATCACCTTGTTATTATTCTTGTTCGTGGTAGCAATTGATTTCAAAGCTTCCTAATGAGAGACTTGTTCATATTTTCGTCAGGGTATATGATATGCTTCTATGGCAATGGGTATTGCTGAACGTTAGTTTATTTTAAAGTATAAAGATGTCCTGTTTTTTGAAGAGATAAAAGAAGATTGAAAGACTTTTTATCGTCATATTGTAAGAGTTTTGAACAATTTACCGGCCAATCGATACAGATGAGCATCTTCAAGAAACTTTACCTCAGAAACAGTTATGTGATATGTGATTTATGCAGTTAGCTAATGATATTGCTTTCTTATTGGAGATTTTCATCGTCGAGTTCCTATTTTCCTATCTTTTATCCATAAAGGAAAGAAATTATATCTTATGTTTATGGCTACTCTGTGAAACAAATTTTCGGAGAATCGACCTGATCATTACTGAGATATGAAATCTTGCATCTTTCAGAGGCTATTCATTAAAATAAGTACCGATGTAAAACCTTGATTCTGATGCATTCACATTTCGGGGAATACTGACTACAAGTCACTATGTGTATTCCATATGTTTCCAGATTCTGCAAAGCTAATGAGAAATCTTCAAAGAATGATTTTAAGGCAGAATTTATATGGTATTTAGAATTATATCGCGAGCCCATACAGGTGCAGTGCTCTGGAGAATACGTAGTTGATCATATTTGTTTTCGGAAAACGCCTTACACCTTACAGAAGTGTGCAAATTCTCAAGTGAGGCAACCATATCATTACTTTATTTTAAACCGTACATGTTATTCTCGGCATTTTCAAGAATCCCATCCTGTGTGCTCTGCATATTTATTTGAAACAGCACCTTCTAAACTTCATGAAAATACCAATGTGAAACATGTACCATTTGCGTATAGGTGAAACATCAAAAAATCCATTTCATGCAACTTTGGTAGTGCATCATTGGTGAAAATAATGATCTTTAACTTATGTTAAGACCCAAATGAGGTTGGAAGGATGCTGTACAGTGTCTTTTGAAATTGTACTGCTTCAGAAGCGTGGCTCCATATATGATGTAAAGACAAGGAAACCAGGTTTGTATTTTAATATGTGATAAAACAGTACTTTAATTTTTTTTCAAAACTAATAAATCAACCTGATTGCAGCCTCTAAAATTTTACCTCATTATTTCCCATATATGTTTATTGAACAGTCGGAGGTCATTTCCCAAGAATACCCAAAATGTGTAGCACAACTGCTTTTTAGTCTTTAAACCCTGATGCCAATTTCTTGTCAGGTAGCTGTTTCAGATTCAGATTGGTGTTCTAAAGTATTGTACAACAAATGAATACATTATATATATATACCTATTTTTTTACTCTTTGTTGCAAATTTTGTTGCAAAAGTCTTAGTTATATTGCCTCTTTCAAATGGCCGTGGTTCATTTCCTATTTTACTAAATTCCAATGAGACATATTTAATTTAGATTTGATAAACAGGAGTTATGGGACGATTTGTCTGCTCAAAATTACAGCAAACTACAGGTACTTATAATTTCTCCCAGACCTTTTACATACCAAACATTATCACTTGTACATGCCTATCCTTTCACAAATCATATTTGTTTAAAAAAATTTTCTGAACTGAAAACTTCAAGTTTTTTAGGAAACTTTCCCTGGATATTATCTTTGGTGAGTATTGCAAGTTGGTGTTTTGATTAGAATTTTTTGAGAAAGTTATTAGACTGGACAGTGGACAGCTGATTGCAGCTAAAGGTAAGCAAGATAATTGTTAGGAAAACAGTAATTTTTGATTTTAAAGAATTTAAATGTAAATATTATCTAAAAGAAATAATTTAATTGATGAGCCACTATAAATTATTCATTTAACATCAATTTTCTCCACTTTTATAGTCCTTGAATAAACAGTCTGAAAATTGTCTGAATTGGTTTATATTTCAATATGATCATAAAATTCTAAATTAAAGCAGTTGCACAGTTTCAAAATTTGTCTAGAATAGAGCTTTCATAGTGTTTTTAGTAAGTTGCTATTGCTCAAAGTAATGGTGATTTTGTGCTATTAATCAAAATGCTAGCAAGCTTTTCCTAAAAGTTGTTCATAGATGCACTTTAATTACTGTAGTCATCTGCCTAATTGATCATCATGCTCTTGTGTATTTGTGTAAATGTTCATATTATATATTTTATAAGAGTTGACTAAGTTAGTAAATTTGTTTTCGAAAATTTGTATTTTGAATATTTTAGGAAGTATAGTGTTCTCTGTAAGGTAATTTCTGAGGAGAACTACCATTTTACTTTTGAAATTTATTATCAGACATGCAAACATTTTACAATCTTAAGTAATTTGAGGACCAACCAGGGGTCCTGTGGCTTGGGGCAGGGACTATTGGCCCTTTACGGAACAAATTTTCTTCTTTGTCAGGATATTTAGAAAAATATTGCCGTTAATCACCCCCAAAACCCTCCCCTAAAAAATTGAATCCCCACTAACCGAAAACAGATAAGGAAAAGGAAGTCTGGTTAGTGTGATTTTAAAAACTCATACATGACTGACAATTTTACACACCATTTATAGTTGATAGCTTGCCACAAAACTCTTGCAGAAACACTGTAGGTTTATTTAATAAAAGTCGTGAGTAATTTTGTAAGATCCAATTTAAAAACTGGCAAGGGTCTGGGAGAGTGCTCATTTTTTGATAGACAATTTTTCAGGAAACTTTGGAAAAACTTTCACTAGAAAACTAAGGAAAAAAGTTAGTAGGGTTTGGTTGAGGCATTTGAACTCCCTTTGTTTTCATTGGCCTTCCTCAAGTCTTTGACCATTAGCCCCCAATAATCTGTGGGCTTTGTTCTTCTTTATGCCAAGTGTCAAAAGGGTTAATTGTTTTTTTATGCATTACAGCTTATATTTATGGAAGCCAAATTTCAGTGAAAAGGTTAAAATTTATGTGGCATTGTGGACCCATCCAAAGTCTGGGTGGAAAATAAAATCTTATTATAACATAAACTCTGGACTAAATTTATTAGAAAATGATTGAAATAATTGTGATGGTGATCATGATTTTTATGATTAGGATATGATTATGATTACCATAATAGCGATGACACAAAATACATAAATGGTATACCTTTTTCAAAAATAACACATTTATGAATTATTCGCCCCCCAAAATAACACACATTTATGAATTATTCGCCCCCCAAAATATCACACATCTATGAATTATACCCCTCCCCCCGACTATATGGATTCCTTACAATAATATGGTCTTGGTTACAAAATTTGCTTTTTGAAATTTTGTAATGAAAATGGTAGGAAATTGTCATTTCAATTCAAGTATCAATGTTACTATCTCAAAGGGCGACAGTTCAATCTTACATCCAACACTTTGGTCCACTTCCAACTTGTTTTGAGGCTCCTCTAACATGTTACATCTGCAAAAGAATTATTTATGCAAATATAGAAGTATTCAAACTAAAATTCTCAAAATTAAAATCAATACTGATATTTATAAAATTATACAATTTTTAAAAGAATTACAAAACCTACAGAACAATTAAAGAGGGTTTATGATTTTTTTATATTAATGACACGCAATTTTGTGTTGGAATAAAATTAAATTTTCTGAATTCTATCTAGCAAAACAGCAGTTTATGGTCATATGTAGTTGAACTGGATTTTTATCTGAATTTTTATTGCAAAAAATTGAAAGCCTATCGAAATCAATGCCCCTTTTGTAGTTGTCTTGTCCAGCTGGGGAGGGGATATGTGGTGACTCTTGGAGATTTTTTGCATTTTGTCTGTTGAACAACATGTGTGTTTGTGTTATTTCAAATAGTTCTATTTTTAATATTTCGCAATGGTAAATTGTTTTTATACGGGATGTGAAAGGGTTTCCGTCCTGTTTTTTTAAGTCGAACACAATTTTTCAGCTAGACAAACTCTCAGCCCATGCTTAAGAAATTGATACACAATTGAGCATACCGTTTAAATTGAGCATACTGTTTTATCTTAATTGTATTTTATTTTTGTAATCAGTAAGTACTATGAAAAATATTTGCAGCTGAATCCTTAAATTTTCTAATAAAATGCCACAATAACATGGGCCCCGACGCAGGTTGGAAAGCGGATGGGCCAAGAAAAAATATAGCAATCATAACAAAAGGTTTTAAAAATAGATCTATTGTTTTACAAAAAAATGAGGGGTCATGGCTCCCCCTTCGTCGGAGGCCCTGTATATTCGGAGTCTTGAGCAACAGAAAATCGTCTTAGAGAAGAACGTATATGATTCAAAGTACTTTTAAATGCCTGCTATCTCCAAGGCTATTATACAAAAAACCCGGAGGAAAAGACCTTACAAGAGGTCAAAACAGCCTTGTTAAGAAAGGGAGACAAACCTACCCTTGGTGTGAACACCTCATACAGCACAAGGGAGAGGGAACAAGAGGAACAAAAAGATGAAAACGCGTCCCTGTCCCTGTTTCAACAGCATAAATTGTCTCTTTCTAGCATTACTTTTTCTTCCCTGGCAAAAGCAAATCTGATTTTCCATGGTAGAGCTTTCAGCGTCAGAGAATCCATGGACTTTTGTAAATATTTATCAAGTATTTATTGAATTCATATGCAGAAGTTTTTCCTTTTTGAAATTGCAAGGAAAACCTTTTCTAAACAACCTTTCTTGAGGTACAAATAACTGGCGCAGTTTCTATCGCATGCCATTTGATTATGAAAACAGGCTAAAATATATCCCAAACAGGTCTGTTTACAAGCGAAAATAGCGTACCTCCAAACCCTTGAAATGATGTGTGTTGTTTTCAAAACTGTGGATGCCTTTCCTCCGTAAGCCTCGTACAGTCGAAGAATTATTGCATTATCCATGTCCTCTGCCTGTGTATCGATTAAGAATTGTTGAAAAATTATTTTGCAAATTAATGCTATCCAATGTGTTTTTAATGATGGCAGGAAGAAAGAATGCATTGGAGCAGGACCTCGTGCAAACTGTATGTAGTTTCATGACTAGTTGGCCTTAAATAGCCTTTGAGGCTTTGATTTATTTGCAAGCTATAAAGGAACCACTCTCGTGGCTCTGCGCCTCCAGATACTATAATAATTTTGAATGATTTTATTTATAGCATCTAATTAGTCATTTATTGCTGTAAGTCTGGGCCACATTGACTCTGTTCTGTGCCTGTTTGCCGGGATGAAATATTAGCTACTTAAATTTCATCTTACTTAAATTTAAATTTACCAACATATTGGATGGATCTGTGTTGTTTCTGCTTACTGATTCTATACATTCACTTCTTCGCAAGATATTCTGTTCGGGGAAGGGCCTATTGTATATTCCCCGTTTTTAAAACGTTGCGACTTGTGATGTACAATTTCTACTTCAAGCATACCTTCTTGACAGTTTCTAGAATCACAGCTGGAGATGACACTTGGAAGAACGATCTCAATTTATCTGCAAGTAGAAATGGGAGTGGATATGAGAAAAGTTCAGCTGGAAATAACGAGCAGCAACAAATATAAAAATTGTTAATTGAGAAAGCTCATGGAAATTACCTTCTTCACTATGAATAAATTCTTGCATCACATTGTTGAAGTTATATGCATATTGAATAACTCTTGCTGACTGCAAAGTTCCTGCAAATTGAAAGATGTGATATGTTTAAACGATGTTTCTAGATAGAGCTCAATCAATGCAAATGGCAATGTGAGAAAAAACGATAAGAGAACGTACCATTATGAGGCATTACTGCATACTCGAATTCGTGACATCCCATATCTGCAGTATCATCCGGGGACTTCGGTGATCTTAACCTGTTAAAAACCTACATCGTTAATACCACGGTATTGTAGAAAACAGTCAGCCCCCGTGAATTAAACGGTCGCCTTCTGGTACTAAAACTTGTATTTGATGCTGATGCTTTTAAAGATATGACCAAAGTAAATCCTTGCGTATTCTTTTAATATGAAAAATCAAAGTTACATCATTGACTGCTGGATGGGGTAGTTTCTATTTCAATAAACTAATAAAAAGATAAGAGTACCTTAGTAGTAACAAGGATTTTTTTTTCAAAATAGTCCAGAACATGGTAGAACTTACGCGAGCACAAGCAAAAGAGGATTTATGGCGCTGCATACTTTGTATAAGGCCCATAAGCATCGATCATATTTGAAAACAGATTGGCAAAATGTGGGTTTTTAATCCCTTTCACCCAAAAATGCAGGAAAATGAAGGACAGAGCTTTTCATAAATGGTGGCAAGTGCATTTTTGAGCAAAGGCCAAAAATTGAGGTCTTTGTGATATTGGAGATGTTTCCCCTTACTTGATTGATGTCTGGCTAAAATGCCCGTTGAGGTGCTTCTTAACTGGGCCATAAAGAAGCAACAATGTTTTGGATTTGTTGAAAAATAGCCCAAGTTTTATCATGCTTTATAACGAATTCAAAAAAGTCCCACGTACGCAAATATACTTACAATGAAATAGCCATGGTCTTGTTTGTAACTGAATATCCATATTTGCATTCAGATAGGAGAGCAACTCCGAAATCATGTTCTGATAAATCAACCCATTTGTGGCCACAAACCTTCAAGGAAAGGGTTATAAAAACATCGCCGCTGCTTCATATAATTTCAAAGATGATTAAAAGATTTTAAAATTGTGGAATTCAACAGGAGTCTTCTGCAGGCAATTATTTCTTTTTTGGCGTTCTCTTTTTACTATTCAGTTAAAGAATTTCATCTTTATTCTTTAACTTAGGTGCTGAAAATTTGACAAATTAAAACTATATACAAAATAAACAAAAAAGACAATCAACGTTCCTCTAAAAAGGCATGGCACCCAGATGAAATGTGGCTATTTTCGCATAGGCACCAGTTTTGCAGTAACCTTTTCAAATGAAGCTAGTCACATCGGCATCCTGGTCCTAAAGAGCTGAAATTTGACCCGGATACATTCGTGTTTGTGGTTTCTTCCTTTTATATACAAAGTATATTGTGGAAGAATCATCTAGACCTTTTTCCAACAAAATTTTGAATACTTAGTTTCAATTTAGAATTATAGCCTTCGAGTTGAAGTCACCTACAAGTAAAATTAAAAAAAAGACCAATGTACATTTGTGTTCTCTTTTAGCAGTTGTTGAGTTGATATTAGATTCTATCCTCATTCCAAACCGGTATTAGAGACGATTTTTATCGACAAAAATGCTCGAATGGAGGAGAATTGAAAAACTGAGATGTGGTTGGCTATCCGCTCATTCCCTTTTTATCTGATTTTCATCTACGGGGTCGTGATTTTAATCCTCGTTTTAATTGAAGACTTTTGGGAATCCGGGTATCAATCGCGATTCTAATCCAAATCACGTTATATTTGCTTCGTGCAGACGAGGAACTAGTCATTCTAAAAAGAGGCCAAATTTTGCTTCAAATTAATTGCAAACATAAATGACAATTTTTATGGATAGATCTAGTTCAGAAACCCTGGCTAGCGGTATGTATATGAAGTGGTCATATTTCGGGCAAAGATAAAACCCAGATATTTCAGGAGTGCTTCGCTTATTCAATAATAAAATGAACCAGGCCTTAGGTCTTGTAGTAACAAAGTGTAAACGTGATTGATGCTAGAAACAAAACATACTCAAACATGCCAAACAGGAACGCTTGTTGAAGTTTATTGGTTTATCTATCATTTTTCTGTTCTTAATACAGTCGCTTTTATATTCTTGATTATCGTGCAGAAAACACGGCGCCAGCATGAAACAATGTTATGTGACCGTTTCGTCTTGATGAATTTACTGACTAATTAAAATACAAGGCGTATACACGTGAAACGAAGGGATGCTACGAAAGTGATTTTTGTTACATTACTGTGAATATGAAGACAATATGAGATCTAAAGGACAGTGATACAATGAAGGACGTGATTTCGGTTCGAAAATGTTCATTACATGCCTACATGCAATAATGTTGCATTGCAATCATAATTTATAACTAAATTGCTTTGTTTCGCATCAATTTTGCTGCCTGTGAATTATCTATAGTTCTATTTGTGCAAAAGTTTTGCTTTTGTGTTTGCATACGAAAAATTTGATAGATAGCAATGCTATCTAAGTCAGGGGCGGATTCAGAGCAAACTTGAAGGAGGGGCAGTTGGTAGTGCGGGCGCTGAAAAATTTTCAAAAATTGATGACGAGAGTACGCTGTATACAACAATTTCAGATTCATTTTCGGAATAAACAACATAACTTTTGAGGTAATCCTCGAAGCAAATTATCCTGTCGGTCTCAGATACTATTTCACCTGATTCTCATCCTTCAAAAGGGGCGCACAATTGTCAAAAAGGGGGGCGCCAGACTTTCTACAAGGGAGGAGCAACTGCCCCTAGTTGCCCCCCCTTAAATCCGCCACTGATCTAAGTTCAGTTATTTTAAGACAAATCTAAATTGTTTGACCCAATATTGATGTTTTGGAAACATGTTCTGAAAGACTCTACTATTCATCGACTTTCTGCCACAGACAAATTAACCACTGTGCATGTTAGGAAATGGCTATGGTGTTTGCAGATCAATATGATGTCAGTATGATAAACAAGACGTCAGATCTTAGTGCAATAAAAGTACAGCAGTAATAGGGTCGTGAAGAAATTTATTTTCCTTACTTCATATTTCGCCCAATCCCAAGACGTATTTCCATGCGTAGGTCTTTTCACGTGCCCAAACTGGATCTCGTAGCTGGCATAATCAGAAAGCACATCAACTGGAAAGTCGACTCTCAAGAACTTTCTGTTTTCGTGCCAGTTTACCTACAAGTGCACCAAAGAATCATGACTTAAAACAAAAGGAGTACTATCACCAAATAAGAAAAATTCTGTCTTTCAAAAACCCTATTTCTGATTCTGGTCATAACCCAGAAAATTTTCTGAAAAAGAAGACAAGATGGAGTCGTGAAGCAGGAGATAGATAGGAACGTGAAATCCGATGCAATCTTCTCCCCAGTCTGCTTGGAAGTTTGTTGTGTCAAGCTTAAAAAGTTCGTTAAATGCCGATATATGGATGCCAAAGTTCGAAAAACAAGACATTTGTGGGTTTTAACCAACACAGATTTCAGTATCACATAAAACGCATAACAGTATCAAAAACTTGTTTATATATCGAGAATAACGATTATTTAGCTAGCAAATAAATTTAGTACCAGAATGAAAATATAATAGTTTAATTCTTAAAAACACGACGTTTCGAGCATGTACTCGTTATCAAGTGATTTGACTATATTATCGTTATTCTGGAGAAAGTACCATACGCAACGACATATTTAATTGTTTATTTACCGATGTTGCAAATCTGACGAAAGGCGATTCTGCATCGAGTGAAATCCTCTGCTTAAGATCTGACACTTCACTTATCTTGATCGAAACCTAGCAAAATTAAAAGCAATTAATAACCAAAATAAGCCTTTCGTACTGCGAAACAGACGTCTCTAATGTTGTGTTTATATACTTTTGGCAAGCAAGAATATTTCTCACAAAGACTATGCCAACAATAATTTGCAGAGTATAACTACCAATCCTGTCACCTAAGTATCAACAATCTCACAGTAACGAGTTCCTTAAAGGAGAAGTGTAGAAGTGTGTCCATGATTCATAAAAAATTGCCAAAGGAATACCATTATTGAATCATATATAAAAACGTATCTGAGCTTTGAGCTTGGTCAAAAAGCACAGGAAAAGATTTAAAAAGGGCTAGCTGACCCCGTAAAATACCCTCTAGAGGTAACCTTTGCAAAGTGAATCTTAGGTATAGAATGCAAAGCGTTTGAATTCCTCATTGAAACGAAGCTTCTAATGGGCTATCTCTGATACCTTGCTGATTCCCTAAAAAAATTTGTTTCAATCTCGTTAAGAAGATTTAGAAAAAAATTCGGATCTGAAGAGTTGAAATCATAACATGTGAGTGATCTTAATTTACTCTCACTAAACCTTTTGGAAAACTAATCAAGATTTAATGTTAAAAGCATCAGATCCGCGGCGGACTCACCTCAAAAGAGACTCGAAGCGGTCCATTATCAATTACAGAAAACTGGGTGACATCATCAACTACTCTCCTGTGATTTAAAGAAAACGATGAAATTAGAGACATTAACACTTACTGACAACAAAACATAAACAATTATGACATTAGTGATGCCATTACAGCTTTTCATATGCATGTCATCTTTTACCAAATTAGGTGTTGAAGCTACTAAGTCATTTGTAAATAACGACAAAATTTCTAGAAATGTTGTCCCTCTTTTATCTTTGCTAGCAAAAATTCCACCGGTACTTCTTACATCGACTATATTTTAAGTTATCTTAAAAGTGATCCTTTGATTATGAAGAAGAAATGTAGCTTAAAAACTAGAAATTACTTCTAACCACTACACAGTGACATGCTTCAAAGGGTAGTCTAGCTAGACGTCCTTTCCTTGCTAAAGCAAAGTGCCAAATCATCAGAAACAATTTTTCAAAATAACGTATTTTCAAAATTTTTAGTTTGCAAAAAACATAGCTATTAGATAACAAATCTAGCTGGTCCTCTATGTGTAGAAACGAATATCTACCTAGTCTCTTTATAATACGGCATAACATCCCAAGCATCCCAAAACAGAGGAATGTCATCAAAAATAGCAAGCTGATTGCCAGGCTGTCCAGGATTGCATACTTCCCTAAAAAGCAAAGAAAGTCTTGTTGTACACAAAAGGCTCATTATACATCAGAAGTTTCACATAAGTTCAATTTAGGCATGTCTGTAACAGGCTTGAAACAGTTTTTAAGGCATATAGTGAATGTAAAACGTTGCATTAAGCATCCTCTAACTAAATGCCAATCTACTTTACAGTCCTTCTCCAGTCAAAAACTATTATGTTTTTGCGGGCATCGAGTGCAACGTATCAGAGCATCTTTTCTTACATGGAAAATTACTAAGCGTCCAGTAAACAGCTTTTGATACAATTTAATAACGCAAAAAGCAAAGAAATTTTAGATATTATTCTGATGAATATCAAAAACATCAATGTAAAACCTTAAAAGAATTAAACAAAAACAAACCGTTTGCCGGACTTCAGCTGCAAGGAGATCATTTGACCGCAGGTATTAAATTTTGCTTCGACAATACCGTTTTGCAAAACAACAAAACTTCCTTCCTGCAATAAATCAAGTAACAGAATTGACACAAATGAAGGGAAATCACCCAAGTCTCAATCAATCTAAAACTGTTCTGAGCATCATCCTATTTATTAAACTTTAATATAAGTGTTCATCATTGTCGAGCCCCCTTCATAGAGTCCTAATACACTTTAATCCGAAGATGCCAGCTCGATTGGTTGCTTGCGTATGATATGAGGCCTAGGTTAAAAAAAGAGATCGGGTATTACAGGAATTTTGGATCGGCGCGGAAGTGGTAAAATATATGGTAACATATGGTCAAGTGCAGGAAAAAACCCTTTTAATCGACTGCATTTTTGAAGAGGTTGACCCCTTTCATTCTTTACCAAGTAGAAATAATCTTATTGAAAAAAGAAACGACGTTTACTTAACTTAGACGATAGAAAATTGAGAAAGAAAAATAACAAGATCTCGAAAAGAAATATAATAGAGACGTATGGGATTTACCATAGCTATTCTGGCCTCGTTTTCACGAGAAACCGCCTTTGGTGAGATTTCAGCGTATCCCATCGAGGGGACATCAACAAGGGCTAAAAATAGGAGCTTTCAAATAGATTTAGATGTTCTATAAAGTTGCAAAAATGACACTGATCTAAAAAATGATAAACTCAGATAAAGATGCCGGTGTCAATCATCGATTAAGCATGCCGGTATTAATGAACAGACCCCGTATAAGGTGAAATAATGAATAAGAAAAGGTGTTTCATGAAATATTTCATATAAAAAGTATACTCTACAAAAAATCTTCAGGCGCACGGAAGTGCCCCTTCTAAATCTTGAATAATAGCTACAAAGGTACGTTTAATTTGAAGAGAAAACTCGATCTCCAAAACGATTCAACGATAGCCTGGGTCGAGCCCAGGCCTATTGACGGTGATAGGGGATATCGTTTAAACCAGATTAAAATGTTTTGCAAAATGACGAACAAATCTTGAATAATCATGGATTTGAAAAGCCGGCCCAAAACACACATATGCATATCAAACAAGGAGCTTTGAAAGGTTTGATGTTATGAAATATACCAAATCTGCATTGCTATGAAATTAAAATGGAAAGAAAGTGAAACTAAAAACAAAAAAGTTAAGGGTAATTAGTTAACGACTTTTAAAATGTTATTTTATGATATAATAACTTAGTCAAAAATGTTAATGAATATTGAAATTAATTAGAAATAGGAGAAAAGCGCACATGTTGATTATTTCTTTTCTTGACATCGTTCTTTTACCATAATCTACCAAAGTTTATTCACAAAACCTGTTTTAAAATGTGAATTAATATTTTCTGACATTTTCATGTTAATCATTAACGAAGTGCTCTATTCTTAACCCGTTATATCGGATATCTAGCCACTCTAATCCAAGCCACATTCAATTTTATGATCTTCTGAGCAATTTGTCAACAAATAAAGATAGCTTTAGAATAAATTTTTCCGAAAAACTATAATGTCTAGGATACAGAATTTCAAGACGATGACTTACCAAAGCGCCCACCCACGTCAGATGCCTGCGTACTGCCCATCGCTTTGTTGAGGATACTTGACTTCACATGTACAACTTCCTGTCTGTCCCAACTGCATGTGTTTAGGAGAGCTGGAAACTAATGACGAAATAACAGGTTCAATTAACTTTAACTCTAATACTCTTCGTACCCCCTTTTATGTCCTACTTATTTCAGTTTTTCATTATTCTTCAATTATAAACGGAAAAAGCTTGTTTTTGTTCAAAATGGTTCAAGACAAATAAAGAGAAAAACAGATGTAAGGGGAAAATTGTACGAAACTCTTTACGACTAAGCTATCTTATATGCGGTAAAGATTTACATTATAGATTTATGTTATAAAATACATTATAACTTTTCCTACTTTGTGCTTTTGTGATGCTTCTTGGTGGTGAGACAAAATTCCCAATGCTTTCTCCGTAAGTGCTTGGGTAGACAACAAAATGTCTAAAAGAAATAAGTAAATTTAGAACAAAACTTTCTTTTTGCTACCTTTAATGCTTTCAAATTTTAAGAGCTAACATTATAAACACGATAAAAATTGAAAAATAGTTGATATGTGGAAAGCAATAGACGTGTTGAAATATAATGAAAAATTTCAGCAGCTCAAAGTTGCCCGCTAAAATCTCTATATTTTCATACCACCTGCATCCACAGGCACTGCGGAGCGTTGAGGAAAGTGGGGGGTCTAGAAAAAGTTGGGGGGGCTAAAACCGTATAAAAAGAGGCTTTACTGGTAGTTTTCACTTAATATTTGGCATTTTTTGCAACAAGTGGGGAGCTAAAGCCCCCCCCCCCCCCCAGCGCCCCCTGCTCCGCGGTGCCTGATCCACGAATTCGTTAATACCCACCGTTATAGTACTTGATGGCAACATCATAAACCTACGAGGTAATTATCAAGTGGCTAAGTAAAAGCTCTTCATGAACAGGAATTATTCAGTTCAAATCGACTGAAAGCAAACGCTTGTTGCATTTTAAATGCCAAGCTAATTATTAACATGCCTGCTTAATATACTAAATGCAAGCTGCCAAAAGCCGTATTCTTATCTGCTTGAAATCGTTGAATCATAATAGAATTTATCGCTTTTTAGGTCTATGTGGGAAAACAAGATATTTATAGTAAACATACGTACAAAAAGTAATCCCTATTTATATATCATTTATAAAATTTACAGGAACAAAATATTAGTTAAAACGATACCAGCAAGGAGCATGGAAATACATAACAATCCTGCGGCAATTACACTTAACATAGAACAAATATTGAAAAAAGTAGACAAAAACGAAGGAAACTTTTTATAAGAGAGAGGGAGTTTGTTTAGCATTGTCAACAAATCCCCAAGAAAGACCACACCTCTTTAATTGATGTCCCAGGCAAAACATCATGAAACTGGTTTAACATCAGGTACTTCCATGCAGTAAAAAGCTTCAATGTAGGATAGGATGCTGAAAAGTATAGTCAATCAGTGAAGACCGTGAGCAGGATTATGTCAATAGCAATGTGAGTAGAAAATCTAAATGGGCTGCTCTGAATAAACTACATGTATTTTACAAAAACACAAATTCACTCCGCTATAGTCGAATACAGTGAGCTTAAATAGGCTATGGATCTTGACATGAGGTTTTAATGATAGATTGTAATCACACAAAACCTTGTTCAATTGGACTCCTTCATAACAGCCTTTTTGCTGATGGAGCAACCGAGAAAGATTGATAACGATTTCCTGATAGACGGTGCAGAAATAATGCTCTTTGATAACGTAATCTGAAACTAATATCACCTTAGAAAAATATTTTGCTTCAAAAATCCAAGTTATAAATTAAAATTAAAATCAATTTTTGAAAATTTGTTGTCTTAAATATATACGGAAATGGTGAAAATTTGTTTGGGACAAAAGGAGTCATCGACGTTATCTTGGTTCTCGATGGTGCTATAAAAATGGAGGCTCGGGAACGAGACAAAATTAATTAATTTGAAAAAAGTATGCACGAAGCTGACGCCCATGTTCAAATTGTCAAAACATCGTGGATGCTTGTTTGAAGAAGAAATCGTCTGCTATCTTCGCAGCCTAAGATAAGAATCACATTTTGCACGGCTTTTACCCACCTGTCCTTAGAGAAAACCGATCATTTAACATGGGTGATCATCGCAAGGGGGCGATTCTCATACGATCAAGGATAAGGTCAATATGGCGCAGGATTTGTGGAGCTCCTTTGCTTATATAGTTATTACTCAACACATGGTGACCATATTTCGAAGATACGAACCAGGCTTCATTTTATCTTTTATCCATGCCATTGTGGATACAAATTCGGTGTTATGCAATTTGATTTCACATTTTCTGTTCATCTTCTTTACCTAAAGGAAATTATTTTTCTTTAAGCTTTACTTTTTTGCAATAAATAACGAATTTTGTCAACAACAAAATTTCTCAAATATTACTTCTTTTAACAATTTTATATGAAAATAATATTTTAAACCCTAAAAAAAGATATTCTTATCCCTAAGATGGAAAGTAGAGATCTCCAAAATTACGTCTCTTTATCATTGAGTCTACAAATAGATTTGCAAATCTCGGAGTTTCCGAAACTTTGTCGTAAGCTGTGTATTTAAATACTGAGGAAGTCTTCATGGCCCAAGTCTTTTAGAAAAGAACCTTGAAACCACAAACGACGGTCGAATACTTAACAAAAATCCCACGCAAACCTTTATATTCAGGGTAAATTTGCAGTAAGATGCATTTAAATGCAAGATAAAATTAGAATGAGTCATTGGGAAAGGGCTTCAAGTCATACAATTTATATTTGATTAAAAATTCTCACCATGCCATGCGTTGTGAAAGTTCCTTGGTGGAGCTCGAGATAAAGTTCTCCGACCCAAACACTGAGTTTTTCTGTTGCTGGCTCGATTTTGTCAAAAAATATCGACGGCTCAGAAAATGTAACCCTGGAAAAAAAGATTTCTCTTGGAAATCATTGAACATAATCACAGAAATATATTGTAGAGTGAGCCTAAATTGAAGTGAAAAATTATCTAACACAACGAAAAATGAAACAACAAATGAAATAAGAAATTACATCAAAAGCGATTAAAAACAAGAAAATTATCGTAATTTTCGTGTCTTTTGATAATATCTTGGTTGTTTGAACCAGGGCCCTAGCTAATATTGTCTTTAGGGGGAGGGGGCTAATGTCCCCCAAATTATAACCACTTCAATATTTAAACATTCATCTTACATGATAATCTCTGTTGCCAATGAACAATTGCCTTTGCTCATATTGTTCTGAAACGCCTTTTTTGTTCATATGGTACGCCTCCTTCTATCCGTCCTACGGTACTGGTTTGAAGCAAACGAAGTTTTTGATGATACCAAAATCCAGACAAAGTGTGTTTTGACACCATTCTATCAGGTTTATGCATTGCAAAGGACGAGTAAAAAAGCAAATTTTGATTGTGAAATTAATGAAATAAGCTTAGATGATAATTCGGTGCTGAACAATTTAGGGACTGTGTAAACTAAAAATAAGGATGGCCTGATAGAAACCTTGGAACTCCATCGACATTTTCCATCCGTTGCAAACTCTCAATCATATCTTCCCTGAAAAAGAATGAGATAGAAAACCATGAAAAGCTACGCAATGGTTGTTAAAGAGCACATGCTTTACGTGTATTTCCAAAAACTCAGAACAACTTTTCACAACAGTGGGTGAACATAATATTTTTTACAAATTATATCTAGTATACCTGTTAAACTAAGTATGATTTATATAAAAATACAAGAATCTAATACAATAACTACGGCTTTAATACAAGAATTTCATTCGACAAACCAATTTCATTTACAGTACAGCTGCAATTCTCTGCAACATCAAGAGACGACGTGTACATTTAAAAATTTGAGAATTCGTAATCGCATTTATTTTTTCTTGCAACAGAGCCATCAATCGGGAATTTGCATAATAAAAGCATATTATATTCTACACGAGCAAGGAAGGCATCGAACAATAATGATTTTGAAGTCACTTTATGTTGATACAAAACTTCAAGTTGTTAGGACAGCGGTGCACTGGATTTCAGTCAATCACTACTGAGAGTAAGAAACGTCAACAATATGGCGGAACAAGACAATAATGCGGACATATTTTGAGGGGTCCCAGGTTGGAAGGAATTTACTGATGATAACACAATTCGATGATAATAGAAATATAACAAATATATCATACGTTGGTCCACCGCCACCATCCCCAAAGCCAAACAATAACAAACTGTCGTTAACTAATCCTCTGTCTTTGTTGTTTGTAGAAGATTTAAGAACCTAAAAAATGATCAAAAGGTAGTTATATGTCACGGAATAACGCAGATAAATATGGCAAAGTCAAACGCAGTTGCGTGCAAGACCTTGGCCTAAAATTGAAAGCGATCGGCACACTGAAAATTTGCCTACTGGCTTAAACTGTATTACATCTACGAGCTACCTTATAGTGTAGCATCAAAACTTTGTTGAAGATAGCGATAAATTAAAAAATGTAAACAATAGGCACTTACGTCATCAGCCCCTCCATTAGATTCGTAAGTATCAGCTGGAGGAAAATGTGTCAGACATCTGAAAAAAATTTCGAGGAAATTCAAATTAAAATTACAAAATAGATGTAGAGAGTTTCTGGTTAATATTACATGGACGCAATTTCAAGGGAAAATTTAATAAGACAGAATGAAAAAATCGACTAATTAATAAAGATATGGATCAAAAATGCTGTTGTTGCCATTACCTCGACCCATCAATTCCTTGCCAAATGAAGGTGTTGTGCTGTAATGTTATACGTAGAATTAGTGAAAAGATTAGAGAAAATTAGAAAAAGTAAGCAAACCGTGCATTCGTGACAAAAAAGGATAGACTTTTGTTAAAAACTCTTTTTTCGGGAATTTCAGACTCCAAGATTTCTTATCCTACGTATTTGAAAATTTTTTCGAAAAAAGGAGCGGTAGGGAAATTCTATTAAGACGAAAAGATGACCCAGTAGGATCAGCTCATCGAACAAAAGAACAAGAATTGAAATATTCCAGTCGAGGTTGACTAACAATGCAGGTTATAAGGGATTTTTAGGTGTCTATTGGCATTGTCATATGCAGTTCATATTGAGACACTGGTAGGCAGTCAGTCATGATTTTTGGTAAAACTCTTCATTTTGAAATAAAATATTGGTCTCTTTAGGCAAAGAACATTATGAATAACAAATGAACAATGAAATAATCTCTACATTTTGAATGATAAACGACGAAAGGCGATGAAGGTTCCCTCCTCTTTTTGACAGCAGATTAAATTATAGGATAATAGGAAAACTTACCGGAAACTTGTTAATCAAACTCCAGCTTAGCTTTTGGGTCACAAAATATTGCATGCCACATTGTTGCATTATCTGTGGAATTTGTGCCGAGTAACCAAAGGTATCGGGAAGCCAAAACTGCAAAATAAAACAAATTGTCAACTAAAAGTGCTTTTTGAAACATAACAAAACCATGTACGGTTTCATACAGAACCATATCAAGTCACTTAAAATAAAAACCTGTTGAGCTAAAATATTTTCGTAAAATTTATCTTGCTTGTTGCAAACATTTTACAACATATTGGCTAACAGCTTTTTCATCTGACACTCCTCAGAGCATAAAACGTCAGAATAAGGGTCCGAAAGAACACGATGAAAAATATATACCCAGTTGTGAATCGAAATAGGCCAATCTGTGGATCGAGATAGGATCGATTAGCATATTTCGATCCACAACTGGCTATATATTTTTCATCTTGTTCTTTCGGACCCTTATTCTGACGTTTCATGCTCTGAGGGGTGTCAGACGAAAAAGCTTTTAGCCAATATGTTGTAAAATGTTTGCTTTTTTCAAAGCCACTTCAAAGTTCTGTACCGCCAAAAAATTGTTAACAATTATTTCTTACATCATATTGTATGTATTGGCAATTATACTGAAAACGAGATTTGAATTGAATTGGATTGTATATATGGTAAACTGGAAGGTTATATTCTTTCGCCACTAACATCGAGAAAAAAGGAACAACAGTGTTAGATTATTCCACAGAACAAAATGTTTTGCAATGCAGTCTATTAAAATCTAAACGGTAGTATTTTGATGTGAGGAAACCTCATCCTTGTTAATGATTTAAAAGTTCTTACTCATTCACTCACCACGTTAGAACTTGTACCGAACTCGCTTTTGAAAAATTGTTGGCCATACAGAAACTGTCGCACGAAAGATTCTCCGCTGGGCAGGTTGCCGTCCTGTTGAATTAAAAATTACAAAAGAATTTTGAAACTCGTTTACGATCATACTACTTAAAAAACATAACTGTATCCTTCATGAAAATATATTTCATAGACAGTAAACTAATCTACTAAATTTGATTAAGACCTGCTAATAAAAGAAGACTATGAAAACATGGGGATTAAATCTTAGCCTTGAATGCAATTTTGTACGCTTTGGTTAACAAATTGTCTGTCTAGGTGACATCTCCAGAGTCAAAAACAATATTATCCGAAGAATATTGGATAAAATACCATCAGAAATTGGATAAAAATTTACAAAACAGGAAGAAATATTTATATCCAATATGAATTCAATTTCACCTTGTTCTGGTAAAAACGAACGTTTTTTCTAGTTCCCTATTTGAACACGGACGAACAAAGCCAAACATGATTTGTGAAAAAGCTAACCAATAAAGATTGGCATTTGGTTTATCTAACATGGACCTAGATATTGAAAGCAGTATTTTCATTTGGTATTCCAACGGTAGCAAAAAATATCATAAATCCATTCGTGATTTTTGGGTCAATTTATTACAAAGCTGTTTACAAATAAATCCCTACCATTTCAACCCATGTCCCACCAACTGGTAAAAATTGGCCTTTGCGCACAAATAACTTTAATTCTTCGTACAGCTCTGGATAGTGATCTTTTACCCACTCAAACTGCTGCGCCTGAAATAGTAAGGATAGGCACATGAACAAAAATTCTAGGAATTCTAGGAATGAATGTTTAAGGCTGGTCGGACAAGATGGTTTCAAGCTGAGATACTGATAGAGCAGAGACACTGAGCAGTAGAACGGATTCCTTGTATGTTTTAGGCCACTTTACTAAATCATGTCTTACGGAAGATTACAAACAAATCAACTGTCCTGTCATAATTATCATGTTATTCTTTTGCCATTGCCTTTTATTTTGACATGCTACTACAATATTTATAACTGTTCCTGATGTTAATAAGAATAAAACTTTGAAACAGCGCAAAAAATAAAGTGATCCAACAGTTATGGGTAATAAAAGACCATTGAAAAAAAGAATATGGTGACCCACATCCAAAGTTTCCATTTGATTTTGTCTACAATTAATAGTAGGGCTTAAAATTGTTGGCACTTGAACAATCTTACAGAATTACATGATATTCTTCCATTATTAGATAAATCTAAGATGGCTTCAGGCTCATCAAGGTACAGAGCATTGTCTTTGAGTGTTCCAATTTCTGTTTGAAATATAAAGCAGCACGAAACAAAGCGACAAATACAGATTATTTACTTATGATATAAAAATAGATGTTTGATAACCAATTAAATTAATTAATGCATGCTTTCAAAGATAAGTTATAATCTATCACCCACTTAATCAATTACTGGAACATCATTGCAAAAAGAATCAAGTTTCTTCGTAGTTTTTATCTAGGCTACAACTTTTAGTCAGCCTTAGTTTTGCTAAAAGATGGCAGAGCAATCGTATTTATTTATGTCTCAGTAATTTTTATTTCAAATACATAATAACTTAAAAATCATAATCCTAAAGGTATGTGTGGAGTTGGTAACTGCTAAGAACTACTTAGTTCAGATAGCTTAGTTCAACAATTAATATTTATTGAAAAATTCAAAGAAACATATATATAGATTCAATTGGCATTAGCAGTACCTGAGAGCAGGCAAATTTGAAATCTGGGTATCGCCTCATGAGCCCGATTGTGGAAGACCAGCTGCGGGCGCATTTGCGAATTGTCTCGTCGTACGGCCATAACCAAGCTATAAAAAGAGGGCTCTAAAATTACAGCAAAGACATCATTTTGATCGGACTCATGTCGTCCTATTTAAAGGCATTGTGATGAAAAATTTCGTGTGATTTTTCTATATATATATATAAAACACTGAGCTTCAATGCAGTGGCGGACACTTGGCGGGGCGAGAGAGGGCGACCGCCCCCCCCCCCAAATACTTTGGAGGACAATGGTCTTTTGTTCTAAAACAATGGGAAATGTGACGTCATCTTATAAAAACAATAGGCTTGCCCCCCCAATATCTGATCAAGTGTCCGCCCCTGCTTCAATGCAAAGTTACAGTATCCGTGTGTCTTCTGAGTTGAAGCTATTAATGTCTTGCGTTGTTTGTTGAGATCGTTTCCTTTTTCAAAACTCACTGCTTTCTTCTCTTTAGCACTTAATCATAAATTCCTACGCCCATATAAACTAACTCAAGAACAAGTTACTGACTCCAACTTGCCATACATATCTCTAAAAGGTAACATCCACCAGAAAGAGGACAAACAGCCAGTACAGGAAGAAAACGTTGGCAAGGTACCTGAATCAATGTGACAATGCCCAACAGCGTGAACGGTGTGTTGACTGTCACCATTACTCTGCTTGAAAAAATTATCCAAAATTGCAGTAGCTCTGAAAAAGTGATTAAAAATGTCGAAAGAATGGAGCTTTAGATTTCTCAGAACAGAGAGCTGAATGCGGAAGAGGTTAAACAGGTAGTTTTAAAATGTTTTATTTTCAAATTATAAAACATGTTAAAAATATCTCTAGCTGACAGATCAATCATTTTTGGCTTTACAGAACAGTAGAACGAGCCTTCGCCTACCTTTCGTAGCTGTCACTAGTTTCTGGTTGAAAGCAATTGGTGACGTCATTTCCGGTGTACAAAGCTTGCCAAGCACGTTGATCGTCGTCAGGAAGTTGCTACAGGGAGTATGAAAGTTTAAAACGTCAAGTTGAGAACTATGTATTTAATAGTATTTTAATAGAATTAAAGGCTTGGTAATAGAATAAAAGTTTGGTTGATTCCCCTTCCTAAGACAAGGCTGTTTAAAAACAATGCATTCAAAAATTTTGCCAACTAAAAGATTTGGCTATAAATACAAGACAATTTTTCAATAATGTTACTCTTCAATAAGTAGATAGCATTACCTTGACGATGCCCAACAAAATCTTTAAATCTCTGATAATTTTGTATGCTTTCCTATTTAAAACTGCAATCTCAACCATAGAAAGAGTGAAACTGCGATTATAATCAGGTGGGTTTATCATCCCATCTTTCCCAGCTCCAAACATCCCATTGGCAGCCATTTCAATGTACAGCTCAAATCTAGAGCAAAATAGAAGAAAATGTATTGAAAAATGTGGCTTTGACAGGTTTTACATAATTATTAATAAAGATATACATAAAAGGTAAATGTTTAATCATCTAAGAGACAATTGTTGGTCTTCATTTATTACCTATTGGACTCATTCAAACATAGAAACCTTAGACTGTGAGCAAGAGAGAAAATTTCAACAGAATCCAAAAATCAAGTAACACAATCTGTAAGCAATAAAGTCTGCTCATACTTGGAAGTTGGTGCCTCCATACCTCTCTTTTCCATCTGCATTTTCTGTCAAAATGAAATCTGTCCTCACTTGGCCATCCCCTCCAGTGAGGCCCTAAACAATTCAAAGTCCCATCAATAACCATTATATAAAAAAATTATCTAGATAAATAAATGAAAACCTGGCATTTGATAAATTTATGACTCTCTCTTTCCCAACAAAAATTGTTTCATAAAAGATGTCATACCTGCATTGGTATTCCATCCTTCCATACCTGAAAAAAATAAGAATCAAATTAACATTGAAGAACATTTTTGTAAAAATTGCAGCACTCAGGCTTTTTCTTGAATAAATGTATAATTAAAAAAAAATTTGAACATCAATTTAAGAAACTCAATTTCCTGACTTGCTTGTTTACTATAAAATATTTCACACAGTGTCTTCCCATTGTTTTTTTGTAATTAGGAGTCCATCATTTTCTTTAAATTGGCTTGAAGTTGGCAAAAAATAGTGGAAACATTGCATACTGAAGTTTTTGAATATGTAATCAAAAAAATTATATTCAGTGTGGATCAAAAGAAACATGAGAGATAAAAATATAAATTTCATTGGTTCTTTTGTTTGTTTACCGATCAGCAACTGCTAGCCTCTCACCTAGTTTCAAGCGTCCTAGAGAATAAAGGAATTCTTTCTCTCTACAAAAGCCAAGCTCCTTTGTTTTGATGTAAACAGATTTTAAAACTCCCAAATGAAAAGGCGACCTTGTCTGCCTAAAAATTTTAAAATAGTAATTTAAGTTGCTTTCTTAAAGTTCAAGCATTGTTGTGCAAAACCCCGAAAAATTCAGCTTCAAGATATGCAATTGCACAAGTTTTTTTCATGAAAACGTATCCTGAACCCTTGAGAGTAAACCTCTTGCTTATAATTTGGAAAATTTCACAAAGGTCACCACTGTCATATAGAAACAACTGCTGAAAAGTACCAAACTTTAAAAAAGCATGTCTTTCTGAACATTAGGAAGTTATTCCAATCCTCAAAAAGGATTTACAATTGAACATAAATACAACAATTTATGCTGCTCATAAATAACAAATTGTAAACCAAAATATATTTGTTTCAAAATACTGAATTACTAATCACATATGGTTTTTTGAGAGTGCATATGCTTTCCCAAACCAAATGACATTTTGAACAGGTTTAACAGGGTTTGAGAGTATAGAATATTACATACCATTGCCTCTGAACCAGAGTTCCACCTCATCCTAACTTCTTGGCCTCTCCATGATTCTGGTATTGTGAACTTTACTTTAAACCAGTGTGTTGACCATCTTGAAAATGCATAAATTCAATTGCCAATGAATGTGAAAATAACTTTGGTAGCAGTATAATAGCCATTTGAAGACTGAATGGACACAAAGAGCACAAAAAGATGGGGAACATTAAAGAAAAACTTTCAATATGTGAAATCACAAAGATATGATTTGGAGAACCACAATTAGTGCAGTTGTTGAAGTGATGAACCAGGAACAGATTAGTAGAAAAGCAATATGTACATCATTTTACATAGAAGTTTTTCTTCTATAACTTATCCTAAATCGTCCAAAATCAATATTGGGGAAAAATTTTTCTAGAACTTTCAAAAACATTTAGTTTTATGACCATATATGCACAATATCATGTCGAGGGATTTTGCAAAATATGAATAGCTTCCAACAATTAAGGCTAAATTGTGAATTTTGAAGCTAAACAGATATTCCAGTGGACAATTGTAAAAAAATTGACCATCAGGGCCCGCACCACCAGGGAGCCAGTGGGGCCAGGGGGGCATGGCCCCATACATTTTTGGAAAAGCAAAATATTTCCATAGAGGTCCTATTATGAAGCCCTAATTCAAGTTCAATTTATAGAGCTTGGCCCCTCCACTTAAAATTCATGCCATGGGCTCTTTTCTAAAACCTTCTCACAAATCTTTGACCTGGGGTTCTGTTTATACAAAATAGGTATGAATGCAGTGTTACCAGACAAGTAAAAGTGAGTCAACTTACGAGCCCCCTCCACCCCCTTCCCCTCCCAAAAATATTTTATTCAAACTGTTGCTCATTAATTTTCAAGCCATTACAGTACCGTTTTATAGGCTTTGTTAAGGCAGAAATGCCAATTAGTTGATCAAAATTGCAACTTTTTCAAGGTACCTTTCTTGGGTTATGAAAGTCTCAATGGCAGTTTTGATCAAGTAATAAGTTACCAGTTGGAGTTTTTTTTAACTCTCTCTGTAGAATAATTGTTTAAATCAAGTCTTACATGACTTTCACTGTGCTTTATGATGTTTGAGGCATCTTTTTCATAACTTGTACTGCCTTTCCATTTTTAAAAACTAGCTTGCATATCAAAAAGTTTTAATCCACCAAATCGTTTAGCGATTCTGCCATATTTTATCCAGAGAGTACCAGTTTCCAGAAATTAAGCCATTCATTTGTACCAATTATCGGGAAACAATGACCTGTGTTGATATCGAAATCACAAATGGACATTACATCTTTGGCTGACATGTCCCCAATACCCAAAATAGCCCCTCCCCTGAGTAAATTGCTATGGCATTGAATAATGTTATGTACCCTAAAATATTGATAAATGTCCCTGGCTTATGGTGCCTTAACAAATTTTGTATTTTGGGGCTAAAAACTGCTGTCGGTTATAAAATCCCACCCATGTTTTTAGGGAAATAAAAAAACTGGCTTCTTCCGTTAGTAGCATTCTTCTTTATTTTTCAGGGCTAGAAAAGGAGAATTTTTCCTCATGCAAATCTACTATTTTAAAAGAAAAAAAGATTTCTTGCCTTCCTGAACAGATGCACTAAATTGTGCTACAAGTATTTGATTATTGAATGTGGCCTCATATATCATATAAACCTCAATAAAATTGTTTCCCCACGGTCGATTTTGGGTGGTTTTGAGTATGTTATAGAGCATAAACTTTTGCATTGGATGGTGGAAAATTCACTTTTCTACCATTTTCTTTCCATTTCACCTTGAATTGAATGCTCTACGACCTCACTAAATGCTAATGAAAGCCTACCTTCCTAAATAAAAAACATCATCAAATTAGCTTAAGAGCACCATCCTATAATTAGCAGTTCTAACAAAGATCAATGGCAAGGATCATTTGGTGGCACCAAGGGGAACTGTGGAACACGCCTCTAATTAAGGCAGCATTGACTTTGTATTTTGTCTACATTTGATGAGAAAATGATTTTTTAACTTTAAAACTGCCTTTATGTAACCAATAGGGTTAGGGCTACGGAAATTTTTGCAGATGACGAAATACAATATAAACAAAAATACAAATACATACGTATGACCAAATGAATCACCAACTTTTACAGCATTAAATTTTTCTGTTGTAACCTCTTTGTACTTCATAAACCTCTTTTCCCCTGCTGAGTAATGACCAAGAAATTCTGGATTTGCATTCTTTTCTGGATACAGCCTGTAAATATCAAAATAAAACTTAATCTAGTTTTAGCCAAAAAACAAAAAATGAAGTTCAAAAGTATCAAAACTAATACACAGTCTTTGAGATTCATGACCATATCCAAAGTACTGATTGTAGTCAAATATTATTCATTAACAAATTTTGGAAAACTCTACTGACCAAGAATAGGCAAGAATATTTGATCAAATCACACCAGAACTGCAAAGCTTAAATGCCGAAATCGTAAGAAAGTCTATTACTTGAATGATAGTGATACACAGGCTGAAAAACAATCATGTCAACAAAACTAACAACCAACTACCATGTCTTTGGAAGAACGGGGAGGGTTGACAGACTACGAAAACTACATTTTCTTTAAAATACGGGGGTTATAAGTCAGGCTTTTCTAAACCTGTTTTACTTAAACCAAAATTGAGCCTAAATCTAGAGGCTCTATTTTCAGCTGACTTAAAATTGGTGCTTCTGACATATTGCGATTTAAACAATGGCAAATTTGTGATGTGACCATATCTACAGTTCCATTCACCTAGGGGGCCGACAACCTGCAAACATTTCACAATGGCACAAGTACTAGCTTTTGCAGCCCTGCAAAATACATAACAGTATGTAAATATGATTGCACATAATATTTCTGCAGTTCACATGATTGAATTTTTATGTCTGTATCGAAGACATCAGATGGGTAGTAGGGTATAGAGCCAGGGGGCAGGGACATCATGGCTAGTGACTCTTAAGGGAGGCACAGCTTGCAATTTTTCCGATAATAGGTTTAAATTAAAATTATGATGTTATCAAGTGCATACACAGTTTTTAAATGCAAAAAGACATGGCAAACAATATGCTTCTTTTGCAGCATCACTTTTACTGATTTCAAAAATTCAGTCAGAGAAAAGTCAACATAATCATCATAATCATCAGTAATCAGTATATTTGATTAACAGTAAAATTTTAAATAGGACTGATAATTAATGTCTTAAGATTCTAAAGAAAGGAAATTGACCACATTCAGTGCATGAAAGTCTCCTTAGCAATAGTGTGTCAGCAAACTTGCTGATTAATTTGTCATAACCAAGTGTCAAATAAGTCAAGCTCAACAATTATTTAACTTCTCTTGGCTCGTTGTTAATCGCAGCCTGTTTTTTACACACAGACTGTGAAATAAATAGCCACAAGATTTACAGGAAACCTTTTTTTGTTTATACCTTCCTTCTTATACTGATTAGTTCCTTTGAACTTTCTTGCTTTTTAAACTATTATGAACTACAAATATTCTTTTGCCGAACAGATACGAAAGTTCCGACAAATTGTCGAATGGGTAGTGATGCCAATCTGCAGAGTATGGCATGTGCACACTGGAGATATTTTTGTGCAAAACCTGTTGCACACCAGATATTTTTGGGTGTGGCAACTAACATGGGTGTGGCTTGGTGTGATCCCATAGAAAATGTCAGCTGATAAAAACAAGCACAGTTGTGTATGAACAATTTGAGATATCATGAATCTTACTTGACAAATCTACAAATAAAAACTTGTGCTATCTTCAACAGTATACTTCACACACATTTTTACGGTGAAATGCAAATTCACAAATTTTAACCACAACAGGGGAAAAAAGTTGGTGCACACCCAGTCTGCAGGGTATGGCATGTGCACACTGGAGATATTTTTGTGCAAAACCTGTTGCACACCCGTATTTTTGGGTGTGGCAACTAAGATGGGTTTGGCTTGGTGTGGTCCCATAGAAAATGTCAGCTGATAAAAACAAGGACAGTTGTGTATGAACAATTTGAGATATCATGAATCTTACTTGACAAATATACAAATAAAAACTTGTGCTATCTTCAACAGTATACTTCACACGCATTTTTACGGTGAAATGCAAATTCACAAATTTTAACCACAACAGGGAAAAATAGTCGGTGCACACCAGCACACCAGACATTGTTGGTGGTGCACACCGTCACACCAGGCTTTTTGCTCGTGCACACCAGAGATCTCGTCGAAAAGTGCCATACTCTGCAGACTGGGTGCACACCAGCACACCAGACATTTTTGATGGTGCACACCGGCACACCAGGCTTTTTGCTCGTGTACACCGGAGATGTCGTCAAAAAGTGCCATACTCTGCAGACCGGGTGATATGGGGCACAGGGGGCACGTGCAAAGAAACGGCACGCCCCTGCTAGGGGGCAAATGTGCAAAGAAAAATGGCTACACGATAGCAAAATAATCAAATCTGCAAACTTTTGCAACCCCTACGTTCCCATACTCTCGTGTTCCGGCGTCCCTGATCTGGGTATCTGGATTATTTACAGAGTTTCGTTGTTTACGTCAGAAGGAAATTTTTTTAAAAATCGATACCAAGTTTTCCAAATGCTCACCGAGAATAGAAATTAACATCGCTAAAATAAGTCGGCGAGATGAACTTTTCAATTCTCTCAAAACAGATTCGCTTGTTCTTGAATGGCCGAGCCTTGACAACACATCTCGGTCCATTTGCCTCCATTTTGAACTCGTGTGAGAAATCTTTTCTGCTGTGTTGGACTCGGCACAGTAATGTTGTTGTGGTTGCTAATTATATGCATCCTGTCCTTGTTCTCTACTTACCGATTTCTTTATTTAAATTTGGTACAATGTCGAGCTACAACTAAAGCTAATTAAAGCCAATTAATTTAAACTACATTCGCATAATATAAATCATACATAACCAATGTTGCATATGTATTCTCTGAAAAGGTCACAAAAACGAACGAAAAAATTGAATAAATTTTTTTAATGACAATACTATGAAATTTTTATTTGGAAATTTAGCCTTGACATTATTTGGAAATTTTCGTTTTGAGCCTGGATGCATTCTTAATGACTCATTGCTAACAATGAGCCATTGCGCTACGCAAGCATCCCACAATGCATTTTCAGACAGTCTGAAATCAATTTTAGTTAATCTGTAGAAGTTTACGGTTTGGATTTTCGCCACGCTCGCAAAGACCCATTGTTAGCAATGAGTTTTCAAAGTATTCTTTTATACAGTTTTGCTATGGTTTTAGGGGAACATCGCCCGCCCTTGAAGAAAAACCACCCTTTTTGAAAAACAACATATGTCAGTTGTCAGTTCTACGATTCCCTGTTATGAACATCCCAAAACAGGCAACTGTTGAAAAATGAGACAAAAAAGCGAGCTGAGGTTGAGCAATATCCTTATCAAATTCTAAAAAATTGGATGATCCTAAGCATGAATTTTCTTATAAAAAATACCTTTAAATAAAGAAGAAAGGGTGTACACTATGTTTGTGGAAGCATTAGCATTGATCTGGACATCAACGCGCAAAATAAAAAAACGGGGATTTATAAAAATGCTCCAGACGTAAAAATATATTTTTCTTCCTTTTTTGCGAAGTGTGGACAGACAAAATTACTATTTCCGACCGCTTTGAACTAAAACAGGGTAGAGAAAATGGCTGGTCGATATATCTTCGAAGCAAATGAAAATTTAATCCGTTCGTTGTCCAGCCTGTGAACGGATCTTGAATCTATTATCATACATTCTTCATTCTCTGCATAACCGAATGTTCTTCATTTCTGCATCGCCTCAACATACAAATAAAATTATATTGTGTTTTCATGCGTATGTTTATTTTGTTTTCGTTTTATTCGAAGTTCCAATTGGAATATACAAGTTGCTCCAATAAACGAGATGTCCAGTAACTGAAGGTATATCTGCGAAGGTAATAATTAAAGGGAAAATGAGAATAGGTGGGAATCCACAGTATTTCATTCGGAATTTTAGGCTAAAAGTTTTTAGTCAATGCAGAAACTTAATTTACCATTTCAATTTCAAAGATTATGTTCAGTTCTAATAGAGACAGCGTTTAGTTTTCCAGAGAAGAACACGATTGTTGCTGTATTCTTCTCGATATAATATAGTAATTAAAGAAGTGCATTTTAAAAATTAAAAAATTTTCTACTACAGCAGTTTTGACGATATACATCCCCGAGGTCTGTTGATTCTGGAAATATTATACCAAAATTTTCCTGTCCAAAGGTTTTTTTGGTTGAGCCCGTAATTTCTATACATTCATATAACTAGCCAATTTCTTTGCATACATTCAAATTTAATGAAATCTGCCGTTAAAAGCAGCTAAAATTGTGTAGGTTTTGTAAAACCCTCGGTGAGCAAGGGTCACTGTATCGTAACAGGATTCCTAACATACTAAGACACCGAGGCTCAGTTCAAATCAGATTATGGTTATTAAGGATGAAGAAGTTCGACTGAAACGATGTCTGCTTTTCGTTTAGGATTCTGTTGCCAAACAGCCCTCTGGCTTATAGCCTTTACTGCATATACACCTGTTGTGGTTGGCACCGGTAAGAGCTACTTTGTTTCTTTATACGTTAAGACACAGTCAGCATTTTAAGCAGTTGAAATCAATCGTTGGGAATTTAACAGGCCTAGCATAACAATTTGAAGTTTCAGGAACAAAGGGAATTACGCACTGCATGTTACATAGATTTAAGATACATAAACGCGTATATACTAAGGATTTTCTTGCTGATTTGACGATAAAAACCTGTTTATGCATAACGGAACCGGTTCGTTCACAGAAAAACAACGAGTCGCATTTTATGAGGTGGAAACTGTAAACAAATCAGAGATCAAGTTGGATAAATTTACTTGGAGGGCGGCGTTTCTTTGTCTCGAACCTGAGAATCATTCTATTTCACAGTCTTCTCAAGGGTTAGAATGTTAAAATGCGTAGCTGCACACCTCGAGGAATATGTTGGGATGCTATGTGACTTCGGTGTCAGGGGCGGATCCAGAGCAAATTTGAAGGAGGGGCAGTTGGTAGTGCGGGCGCTGAAAAATGTTGACAAGTGTACGCTCTATACAACAATTTCAGACCCTAACGACTGACAGAAGGCACTTTATTCACTTTGCAAGGAAATTTTCACAGTAATTGTTGTATACATTGAGGTAATCCTTGAAGCAAATTAACCTATAAGTTTTATAAAGGGGCGCATAATTTACAAAAAAGGGGCGCGAGACTTATTTCAACTCGGTGAGGGAGGGGCAACTGTCCCTAGTTACCCCCCTCAATTCTGCCACTGCTCGATGTATCTTGGAAAAGAATATATTGGGAGTTTAAAAGAAAGGGAAACTTGGCCAATTGGACAAAGCTAACCAAGGGTCATTTTGAGTTTTAGATAAGGGATTCTAAAGAAAACAACTTTGCTAATTAAAAGTATAGTAAAATGAGAACGTGGCTTTGAAAAAAGCAAACATTTTACAACATACTAAAAGCTTTTTCGTCTGGCACTCCTCAGAGCATAAAACGTCAGAATCAGGGTCCGAAAGAACACGATGGAAAATATATACCCAGTTGTGGATCGAAATAGGCCAATCAGAAAAACGCAAGCACAAGACCGGTATAGTTGACCAATCATTCTCGCGAGCCTTAAGAAAAATTACCACTGGAGTCTAAGAGAGAAAACGAACTCCTTCTGACTACACAATGGCGGCTTTTTCGTTTGCATTAGATCGAATCCAAAACTGCTAGATCGAACAAAACTGCAAAATGAGAACAAAAAAAATAGTTAATAGTTCTTGGTTACAGAACTTCGTTCAAACCACTACGAAATTAAATTCTATTATGTTTTATGACAATCGTATAGACAAAAGTCCACCCAAGTTTCCTCAGAAGTTGATTTTATAATCTCTTGAAATCCATTGAAAAATTTGGGGGGGGTTTGGGGGAGGTTCAGATCGATTTCGATTTTCGCCCTTGCAAAAAAGCCACCGTTACAAAATAGCTGCTTGAGAAAGTTGCTTGCCCAAAGATTTCTAAACAAATGAAAAAAGGCTTTTCCAAAAGTCTAAAGGGCGTGGCCAAGAAAATTTGCTCTCGTTCACCCCAGTTTTTTCGAGCTAGCGACGCCACTGAGTCTCAATCCCAGGTAAAGACACCAATTTCAAAACTTCCCAATAAAGAATCAAAAGAAAATAAAGAAGAGACTTGATACTGTGTATCCTTTAACATTCTAAGAATCTTTTTCCTATTTTTAATGGAATTTCAACGAATAATTTCCTTAAATAAATTTGCACAAGAAACACATAGGCTTGAAATATTTTCGCGACAAAAAGTGTATTTGACCCACTATCCTTGAGACAATATTCAAATACTTTGGCTGTTTGTTTCTAAGTCTTTTAACTTTGAAATGCTTCTTCAATCAATCGTTACCGTAAGACGATGATCTGCTTTGAAAGGACTGACGTCGAAAGGTCTTAATTCCTTAGTGTTTTATATACAACGATGAATTTAATCATTAAACCTGCTAAATCGGCTGGTGAAAAGGGGATAGAGCAGATTAAAGTTCTTGGAACTATAATAGCAAAAACATGTGGCTCCGTTACCGTATCTAGCTATCAGGGAAAAAAACCTAGATGCGTTCTGCCCCTGATGAAGAATATTTAAAAAAAGAGTAAAAATCATTCAAACATTATTCTTGTTAATAGTAAACTTGCTGCTATAGGTTTAGTTAAATGAATTCTTCTTTTTCAGCCTTTTTAAAGTTAACTATGTTATGAAGTTTCAGGCAAACTGAATTTTCATTAACTCCAAAGACACTTTAAATCTAACATAACTTCAAAGACACTTCAAAGAATCTTTTGTGCCCGATAAATAATGGTATTGAGGATACGGAACACTTTTTGCTGCTCTGGCATGCTTATGATACAGATAGTGTGGATGCGCTATTGCGACCCCATGGGTTGGTAAACCTTTCTAATAAAGATTTAATCGAAATCGTTCTGTATGGTCACAAAAAGTTGTCTTTTGATTGAGGTATATTCGTGCCTCAGAGCGATTTCCATAAGTTGTTGTTGAAAACCTCCTCACTTGTGTTTTTATGTGTTTTTTGCTACTTTAGGTAATTGCTATTTGTATCATGTAATCTTTAATATTTAGATATGTAAATTAATGTTGAGTTGTTATATTAAATGTTATGATCGCAGGGTTGCTATGTATTTCCATGCTCTCTGCGGCATCGTCTTGTAACCTTGTAACTTTTATTCGGATAAAAAAGTTTCAGGCTTATATTGCAACAACAAATTCCATACATAGGCCAATTGTATACTTTAGAATACCTCTTTGGTATTTACTTTAAAAAGTTTCTACACCTGGTAACAAACGATGAGTCAACAAGCTTTTTAGAGGCAGCTTCAATGTTATGAACATTTTCGAGATAAATAAATATCGAAGAACCAGCTAAAAGCACAATTTTCAAGCTCGCTGCATCATTTCAAGATGGAAAATCTGTCGGGTAATTCTTTTGTGCCTCCTTCAAACAAATTTAGCTTTTGTTCCGGATGTTGTATGGCAGCAAAAACCAATGGTCTTTGATAAAAGCAACCTAATTTTGACTCCTGTTTTTGTGTTCTACATCATAAACGCCCGCCTATTCTATAAAATCATGTTCAAAATTTCAGTGTTAGATGGATTCTGCTGGACTGACTGGGTGAATCTTTACCCTGCAAACGAGGGCAAGGACATTGAAATCTTCACACGGTTTGCCGCATTGCAGCATGGGCTCTGCTTGAAGCCGATAGCAGTCGATTATTTAAGGGCTGATGGAAAACAAGTCAAAGAGAAACTGAAGTGTAATTTCTTTGGTTGCCGTTGCGTCAACTCTGAACAGGAGCCTGGGATTAGATGCAGCGATTACAAGGTTCGCTTTCTCTGCAAATGTAAGCATGATACAGCCGTGGAGAATCCAAGTAAGTTGAGAATCCTTATTTCATACGCTGCATTGGGTGTAATAAAAATAAGATTTTTGGTGATATGAAAATATGACAGCCGGAAAGTAGCATCACTAAGAATTTCATGAATCGGGTATTTTTAGGCAACATGAATCAAAGGTGGTGCTACAGGGGGTGGGTGTGTGTGGGGGTGCCCAAGAGTTATGAATCGGTTCTTTACTCGGCAGTCTCGGGATATATGGGCTAGGCCAAAGGGCCTAAACACCGAACAAAAAACGCACAAAAGATACTCCTTTTTTGATCTTAACTCTAATGATTCAACAGAAAGACTAACTTATATTGTGATCAACACATACTAATAACATAGACAGAAGCTAATTAACAGGACAATACGAGTGTCACACTATATGTTGAAAAACAAACACATTGCCATAAAAAGGCGTTCAGGCCATACTGGAAAGTATGAGCCTGGTACGCCACATATGTACGCCATAGATAATCCATCATGCGCCAAGTAGCGCCGGTACTCCACTCCATCCACTCTGCCAATTGTTAACTTTACGCAAACAGGCCCGCACTGACATTTTTAGGGCATCGGGCCCAGGTATTTACGAAGCATAAGCTTTGCCTCTTGGCCTCAATTATTATGCTTCCTTTATCATAAAAAACGTCTCGATATTCCTACTACCCGAGGCGGTACCATGGTTGCCGCAGAAGGTTAATAAAGTTTTCGAATATGAGTGATTCCAATTCACTGGAAAATGCACTCTTGCTCTACCACCGTACAGGGCTGCACAGCGGGAGGTGCGGCCCTGTACGCAAACCATTTAAATGTACGCCAAATTACGTCAGTTTTTGCGACAAGAGTGCGCCAAACGCCAGCCTTAAAGCCAAAGTACGCCAGCGTTCAATTCGGAGATTGCTGTGCACCACAGATCTGTGGCGCAACGTGAGCGGATTCCGGCCTAGGTTCACTAACACAACAGGACTTAACAGAACATGTGACTTTAACACGCGACGGGAACATTTCTAAATTGAATAAATATAAAATCCAAACCGTTACAGCAAAAATAAACATCAATGACATTCGATGGAATATTTGATTGCTTTCATTTTCGTTTCGATTTGATACAGCTGTTAACTGGCAAACTGAAACCAGTAAGAACCACATTACATTGTTTCAAGGTTGGGTGCGCGAATGACAAGAATGATTGCAAAAAAAATCTATTAAAACTATCCAATAGCGTGGATATTCAATTTTTGAGTAAGATTGTTTTGTAAGGTAGTAAAATTGCTTCAATGACTGCATTTTCCAGCGAACTGGAAGCATCAAATTTTCAAAAATTTCTTCATCTTCTACGGCAACCATAGTGCCGCCCCAGGTAGTAACTATCGCCTGTCGATTGCTCGTGTTGCAATAATCTGCAAGCTAGCAAAATCTTTAACAAACCTAAATGATAATTGTTCCTTTTCTGTTTAGTGATTGAATGAAGAAAGTTTTGTGATGTTGAGCGATATATTGGATAAAATGTTGGATCGTTTGACGAGAGCTTACACGGGGAAGAAGGTCCCTTCTAATTTTGACATAAGAGTTTGCCTTAATTTTATTTAATCGAAAGATCTCCTACTTGGCAACTTGACACTTGACACCCCTAAGGAACTTTTCTGGCACCGCACCTGACATGAATTACCAAAAGTCTTATCTAGGAAATCCGTTAAGTGGAGTACTCCAAGGATCTATACTTGGTCTCTTTGTCCCTTTTATTTGAACGACACTCCACGAACAGTTTATTTGGTTGCAATCTTCTTTTGTTAGTGATTAAAATATACATCGAAGAAAAGAACCTTGACAGAATTTTATGCCTTGCTGTTTCGAACAGCACGGTTCTTAGCTACTTAGTTTAGGCAGACATCGTGCAAATGTTCTATTCAAACAGAATTTTAGACTCTTTTTGCGACAGGTTCCTAGAAATTAAGCTAAAAATAAGCTTTTGTAAGAATAAAATAAAAGCATTCTTTCTTCAAGTAACAATGATAACAACGCGTAAAAGCTAACTGTTAATTCAAGATAGCATTTAAAGTATTCAACACCCTGAAGTTACAAATCTTGGATGTATTCATGGTAAAAAATCTACCGAAGAAGCAGAAGCATTGAAAATACTGCCCTAAATAAAGGGCTGACTCGCTCTTATACAAAGAAAACAAAACTTCTTTGCATAAAAATTGCTAAGATTGCTGTGGTAGTCCTCAACCTGTCGTATTTTTATTTTTCATGCTCAGCATGGTTCTCTGCTTTGAAAAACAGGCTATCAAAAACCATTAAAGCAGCACAAAAAGTGTGTTCGAGTTTCTTTGAACTTAAAGAACATGACGCATTTGAGAACCAAAAATTTCTAAAAATTTGTCAGTTTCCAATAAAAGAAAGCTCTTTGCAATGTGCATCTGCTAATGTTTTCATAAATTCTTTGGGGGATGTTCACCAGCCTACTTATCGGATCTATTTAACACAGCAGAAGATTACTGCCCAACTGGAAAATTGAAAGACAAAGTAATCTTCTTTACTATGAACCGCAAACCTGTAAGGAGATTGCGTATTTTTAACTTGATGCATACGTTTTACTTAACTCTTAACATTATTGATAATGTATATTGTAATTAGTTTTTCTAGCAGTTCTAAAACACTTACCGCTTTTTTGTTTCCGTATGAACGTAACTGAACGTGAAATCTGAAATACTGAAATCTATGTATCGCTGATTACTGGCCTACTAAAAGTGACTGAAAATCTGAAATTCTTACTATCGTATAATACGTCCTGACGTGCTGGAAAGTAATTATAGCTTTCAAAATTACCAATGAATATATATGAGAATGCGTATATAAGTATAACTACCAATGGAACATATGGCTCGCGTATCTGTGTCACGCCAAACGCGAAACATAATATTAATTAAACTGGCTTAGCTTTGACAATTTTTGGTTCAAAGATTAAATCATTTATGCTAGCTTGTGAGTCCGAAACTCTGCATATTTAGATATTTGTTCCTAATTACCTTGAGGTTGTCATTTTTCGAGGATGCAATCTTGTAAAATCAGGCCTAGACATCCAATTCTATCTATTCTACCAATTTCCTTACCCTGCTTTTTCCATTTCTTGATATCTGCAAGTCTACTCTCGTTCTTAAGCTACGACCACAGACGTAAACAAGAATACATCAAGCCACACCTACAGTAAAAACCCGCTTGTAAGAACCTACTTTTTCGGAGCTTCGCAGAACAAGTTCTTGAATTATGGGGTACTTATTGACCTAATTAGGTTCTATAGAGTAGATATTGTTGTTGATTATCAGAAATAAGCATCATATCTGGACTGCTTTTTATTCTAAATATTTCATAGTGTACCAATGTTGCCAAAAGTCCACCAAAAATCTATAAATGATACAATACTGTATATAAAACAGTAGCAATAATTATTTCATGATAACAGTTCAAATTTAACATACATTGTACTTTTTGAGTTTATTTTAACAATTCAATATTCACATTTTGCTAAAAAAGTACACAGATTAAATGGTTAAACCCCACATATAAGAACTTGTTGGAAATTGTTTGGCTAAGCAGGTTCTTATATTTTGGAGTATTAAAAAAGCACATTTCTGCCAAATGGTTCTTAAAACCCTAGTTTCTTACATGCGGGTTTTTACTGAATTTCACTAGATGCCACACTTTGCATACTTTTTTGTAACAAATTTTCACAGAGCTTCTTTCCTAGAGCTCCTTCTTTCTTCTCACAGAGCTAAAATTCTACATTTCTAGGACTAGGTTAATCTGCAGCGGGCTAGCAACGGTTTCATATTCATTTGTTTATGCCTTCTACAGCCTTTGACACATTTGTCTGTCACAATGGTGATCCAAGAGAGCTACGTTGCAAAGGTTCAGCCATCATTAAGATCAAAGCCGCCTTCTACGGCAATATTTGGCTGAGTCCCTGTGGACTTGGCAGCATTGAATCTAACTGCCGAGAGGAGCCATCAACAACGCTCGAAAGGGTCGCGCTGGCATGCAATGGCCGGGCCTCGTGCAGTGTCCAACTTCCAGATGGTGACAATGGCTGTCGACAAAAGAAAGCTTTGCATATAGAGTATGCATGTGAAGGTATTTTATCAGACCCTGATATCTTTCATAACATCTGTATAAAGCTCATTTTAGAAAGTTTTTATTTCCTCTCGGCCAACAATTCTTTAGACGAGGCTTTACCTCGATGTGGAGCTGACATTTGTGATAAAGTATCCACCTTATCCTGAAAAGACATGACATCATAATATTTCGGGACATTTTGTTCAGCATGAGATGAAATGGATTGATAACTATTTCAATGCAATGGCAGGCAACCCAATAAAATAATAACGAAAGAAGTCAATCAGTAGCAAAAAAACTAAAAAAAGTTCACTTTTTATCAAGTTTCAGACATCTAATAAAAGTTTTTGAATCGTTGCTATGTTTGGAAAGAAAAATGTAACTTAATTTCTATGTTCTGGACAAAAGAACTTTCCTTTTTATCGTAGGACTTCCCCCATGTCTTACCTCTGTAGCCTTATCTAATAACCTTTCATTTTGCAGCGATCGCATTGGCACCTGGAAACTACATCGGTACAACAGGGGAGATTTATGTAGATCCAACATGCAAATACAAGTGCATCTTTTTGCTGAGTAACAGAGCAGTCTGTCTTCCAGTGTGTCCGTTACATTATGGCTTCGCTTGTCCGCCAGGCAATATTGTCCGTTGGATTACGCAGCCTGATACGTTTGCAAAGCACTGCTCATGCAAGAAACCAATTTGTCTTGACATCGGTACGTTTCTTACCTCTCCGTTTCTTGCGCTGAACGTCAATGTCAATACCTATACAGGGTAACGGATCCATGATCCTTTGTCTTGTATTCTTTGCACTACTTTCTGAAGACCTTTTATATTCCTCCCTGTTTCAAATGAGTTCAGACACCCAGAAACTATAACAGTCATTTGATGAAAGAGAGAGCCTTCAAAGCGAGATAAATTGGCCTGGTATAGGTTGCAAACTGAAGAAGATTCAAATGATTTTGCATGTTATAATTCATCTCACTGAAACCCATTTCAATTCATGAACGATTCCAGAGTCCACCGAGCAAACACCACCGTATTTCTTCTAATAAACACCGCCCTCTCATAAAGGCCGCTCTCTAATTAACGCTGTAGTTTCAGCCAACCATTTGCAATAAACGCCGCCCTCTGATAAACGCTGCCCTCATTAAAACGCCGCATCTTGAAAAATGGTGTTCATTAGAAAACAATCCAAACAAGAAATAATGAATAATTAAATGCTTACTATTTGAAGGCTATGAAATTTTCTATGTCACAGACAGACAAGAACTATGACGGAGACAGTGACATTCCTTGACACTTCTAAAACATGAACACATCTTTAGTGAACTTTGAAACATTTTTCACAAAATCTTTGGGAACAGTAAACATTGCTCAATGTCTGTTTTTATCTTTTTTACGCCACCCTCTAACGCCGCGCCATAAGGTTGGATTTTGTCATAAACGCCGCGGCGTTCTTAAGAGGAAGTAGGGTATCTGGCTAAAGCTCGTTAAAATGTTGTTTTCATTTTATTATACAGATCTTCGCTGCAAAATGGGCCAAAAAGTTTATTACAGAGGTGAAAGATTTCATCTTGGTTGCGAGGAAGAATGCGTCTGCCTCGGCCGCAATGAACTAAAATGCTTCCCATTATGCACGTGGCCAGGAGTGGCATGCGCAGAAAACCAGAAACAGATCACCAGCCAGCAAGCTACACGATATAGTGACTGCAAATGCCCAATAACGAAATGTGTAGAAAACAACATTGGAGTTTTCTGATCGCCAATTTCAGACGAACGTAAAATTGCGCGAAACAGCATAAGCATCAGCGAATTTTAGCTGATGCCCATAGAAGTTTGGGTAGTTGTTTTCTTAAAAATGTTTTCAAAGCGTAGTCGGACGCTGCTTACATTGTATGATATTTTATAATTAGCAAGGGTAAAACATTGACTTAAAACCATTTCTTTTGAATTTGAATTTATTTCTGAAAATATGCTTATTGTTAAGTGGACATTTGGTTTTGGGATCTGGGACAACATATTGCGCCCCCTCCCCCCAATAATTAATTTCATCCGCGCTCGTAGATGGCAGCAGGAGATTATAGGAATTCTCCTCCCTACTTTAACACGAAGGTTGGCCTAGGACAATTGCAATCTTTAACAAGCACTCTCCCAGTTATAGTTTATAGGACGCCAGTTATAGTTATAGTATCGCCTTCACAACTTTATTCATTCATATGGTTACGTGAATCGATTTGGCAAGTTCTTATTCGAAATGAACTAGAACTTTGCATACGGCAGTAGCTTTAACATTGGGGTAGGGAAATATTTATTTCCATTGCAAGTAACAGCTAATTTCCATTGCAAAACATTGGAGTACTTTGACTTAATAAAATTACATTGAAAAACTGGTTTGGCTGTCAATGTGAGAATTGTAGAAATGGGCGAAGGTATGAGTTGTAGTGATTTTTACCAGGGAACTGGGCACGCTCTAAATATCAAATCATTGTTTAAGTAACCACAAACGTAAAATTTTAAGCTTTTTTAATGGCTAGGAGTTGCAAAGTACTGCTTTTCCATTCTCTAGAAAATCTAAGTCTCGATGGTTCACGTTTTTTAAACATTTGTGTTTTAAAATTTTCTGTCACATGGTAAAAGCATAGCATTTAAAACATTACATTGAAATATTGAGTCCATGGACATAAGAGTTATTTTAGATACGTTTAAACATGGCGAGTTTTAAGGCTAAATTGTGAAGAATGATGGAGGCAACAAAAACGCAAAATAACCGATAAACAATCGATGTTAACATCTTCAGAATCATTATTAACATCCATTTATGAAAAATCAACACGTGCTTTTTCCAACTAGGTGCTTCAATATAATTACAGTTTCTTCCTAAACAAACGTAAGAAAACGATTTAACGTCACAAAAACTTTACTGACGGGTAGAGAACCACTACGAGATCTCATCTCTATTATAAGCTACCAACATGTCAATCAAAAAATGTACTGGGGCCGTTATGCCAACTAAGTAACAAGGCAAAAAATCTTTGATGAGGTTTTTGACGAATTAACATAGATAAAAAATCGTTTTTAAGTCCGTTCTTGACAACCCTACTGAAATACAATGCTGATTTAGCAACTGTACACATACAAGGTGCGGGCATATGACGTCATGGTGCAAGCATATGAAGGCATTCTCCGTACCTCCTTTGGCTGACAGTGCCCCTTGCTGCCCTTATAAAAACCCATACTAATCAAAACACTCCCATATCGATCTCAAAGGGACCGAGCTGCTCTAGTCTTTTCTTTCTAGTCTTTCAGGATTTCTTTTCTTCCTTGTGTTCCGGTATAAAGGTTAATATCTAATTTAAATATACAACGACTCAAGCATTCTAAGCTATCCTTTACGAATTTCTACAATCCGGTGCTGACGATTAAATCTGATGATGACTTCGAGTCAATTGAATCAAAATGAATCTACAAAGAAAAAAATGCTGGTAATCTAAGGGTACGAGGTGTTTTGCTGAAAAACAGGGGTAGTAGGAGTCAATGGCAGACTAAGCATCTCGTTATTACGCAATAAAGATGGGGCTTGTTGGCACGAGTATGACCCACTGATTCTTGACAAGTCACTATACTGGGACGAGTACCACGAAGGAGAAGTGCTCTTTTGATAATCCAAGTACCAATGGGAATTTTGCGGGTAATAATGACCATTTCGGCTGTAATCAGAGCTGGAGCAAGGAGAATAGTTTGGCACACCGTAGACGGACGACGAATACTGTGGTCTGCGGTCAAACGCGCATGCTGAATCCAATCGCGTTGCAAAATTAAACATGTCTGGCCTTTCAAGATGGCGCTCTTTCTTTCTCCACTTGGCACGGCGATTCTTAAACCAGATCTAGATTAAAAATCAGAATAAGATTAACTGAGAATGAAGGAAAATTCAATACCAATGTCCTCAAATTTATTCATCCCGTAAGAGATTACCAAAAATGTTTTAGAAAATTTGATTGTGTTTAAATTAAAGATAGGGTGAAGGTTTCATTACTGAGGCTTCAAAAATCAATTTCTCTCTAATTGTTTAAAGCTTATCGAAGCATCGGTTACTTGGAAAAGTCTATTAGTTATGCTGTGAGAGATGTTGATCGGTAGGTTATATGCGTTGTTAATAACGGTATAATTACTTAAACGTGTTAAGATAAATGATATCTTCTTTTAGTGAATAATGATGTGCGGTACAACACTGTGAAACCTTCTACCTTAGGTATCTTTAAACTTTCAGGTACTTTTTGCAGCCTCCTGGGTCATGTCAAATATGTACAGGTTCTGTGTGTTGTTGGCAATGATTAAATCACTGGCTACTTTTAAAAAATCCGTATTTAGAAAATCATTTAATCACAACACTGGCAGACGAAAGATTGAACAAAAGGACAAAGGAAAAAACGACATCGCACAGGCTTAGATATCTCCACCACGTGAAGGAAGAGACTAAACCAAAGAAAAGTGAAGCCACTTGTCTCTGTCTCAGACATCCACTATTTACTTGAGAGAGCCAGGAAACTATTTGCTCAAGAGTCTCATAAAAGGCTGGTCAGCATTTTAAGCAAGATCAATTCACCGACTATCATGGGATCCAGCAAGATCAAAAGGGCTACAGTTCGGCATGTCTATGCAGTAAGAACATCTAACAAATGCCTATACGATGTTATGGCAAAAATTCCTTTCTTTGGGGTCTATAAGGTATTGATACACCCGAATTAGAGAACCTCTTTTGCTAATCCAAGAGTATGATAAACGAACACCGATGATCAATACAAATATATCCCTTTCATTAATTTATTCTCTGTTGATCATCTCTCACGTTTGCAATCTGATCTTTATTTCTCCCTCATCACAGGGTTTTGCAGAGAGGGATGATTAATTTATCCTTTTTTGGGCATTTTACAAAATAGATAATTCTTATCTTGGTGGAAACTACAACTTATTTACATGCATACCCATAGCAGTTGCCTCAGCGTTATAACCTGAGATTGCTAGTTCACACATTCCAATGAAACTGCTTTAAAACAGCCTGGGAGTAGAGCCGCTAGTCTATTGATGCAAAGTGGGCAGATGAGGGTTTTTTACATATTTAAGAACAGAAATTTGTTAAGGATCCGATTGCTAGGCTACGTCATTCTCGTGTGAGCAAAAGTGATTGAGCCTCGTGTTTCAGAATGGCGGTTAAAATTTGACGCAGATGTTTGGCTTTTTGGCGCAGGAAACTAAGCTGAGGAATTTCCTGTTCTGTGTTACCACCCTGACAGTGTTCAAAAGCAAGCACCTAAATTGACCTAAAATATCGCAAACTGTGGCATATTCCTGTTTGAGGAAGCAATGCTAAATAAATTTTTGTAGAATGAGGGTGGCCAAAATGAAATTATTTTTGAAATCTAAGTTAGTGATATAGAAATATAAAAAAATCGCACAGACCATCAAAAGCATCAACCTTTATCTGAATGTGTCAAATGTTGATTTAAGAAAAGAATTCATCTTTGCAAATTTTGGTATGACTCTGCTTCTACTAAAGCTTGAAAAATAACGATAAAGAATGATGCTAGATGACGTGGGATCTTTGAAATGCATTTAAACTAAACTAACATATAGATAGGCAAGCTAGGTATTTTGTCAGATGATATTTAAGAAGTAGAAGCAAGCCTTCATTACACGTTAAAATGTATCTTATTGTCTTCTCCAGTCGGTTATCCCTCAAAGCTACGATTTTTATTGAATATGTCTCTGGATTTCAAGTGTGGGCCGTTGGATTTAAAAGAGATTTCCTTCATCATTTATAGCAATCAGCTGCTTTCATACTTATTGTTCTATTTGGAATTTGAGTGTTGTGCAAAACGAGATGCTGTTAAAACGTAGATTCATCAGCCAAAATCCTTTACTTGTCAACAAGCACCTTCTTGTAATACACCCAGGTACGAGAAAACTAGATTATCTAAGTATCGAAATTTTTCTCTAGGAAAAGAAACAATGCGAATTCGCACTAAAAACGAAAAATAAAAATATTTGGGCAGGTTAAAGGACTCAAACAGCTTAGAACTACATGCTAGTTCAAGCTTCCGAAAAGTTTTTCCTCCTCTTGTAGATTATTTATAATTTGTAATTATATGTGCTTTTTTTTAAAATAATTTTTGCTGATAAAAAATGGTAATTTTTGCTTTCAAAATACATTCGCAGCTCCTGCTTAGTTTTCAAGAGTTGGTGCGTTTCGAAAGGACCTCCATACCATCCAGCGTGAATCGTTACAATTAAGGGGTGCCTCACTACAATCAAATACCCATTACTAAAAGGGAGGGGCAACGTAAACAAATCACACAATTAGAAACACTTTGCAATATTGAACTGTCTACTGCCAAAAACTGCCACCATTTGAAGTAATCCACGTGACAAGAATATAGTCGGAAGAATATCTTACCCTGACACGTGATTCAGTGAGGGCCGTCCATTGGGCAATATCTTCTCTCATAGCCATATCGGGGTATCTATTCCTGGCAAAGCAAGCTTCAAGTTTTTGTAATTGATTGACAGTGAAATGTGTTCTTTGTCTGCGAAGCCTATGATCAATCCCACAATCTTCTGAAAACGACTGAGCTGACTTTTCTTGATCTAAAAAGATAGAAAAAATTATTATGAACAAGTGAACGCAGGTGATGTTCCTGTTTGGTCAAATTTTGAATAAGGCAAGTGCTGTAAAATAAAAATAAATGCAAATGGAGGCTGCAGTTTCTGTATTTTGTTATGAAGGATGATGAAGGGAAAATGGTTCAAGTTGATACTTGAATAGCTTGTGCAGTGGCGTATCGCAGTTTAGGCCCTGTCTCAGTTTTATCCCTAAGGGCCCCAGGTGCCTCCGTCACGCCAATGACCTTGTGGGAAAAAGTGTGGACACTGATTTCCTTTGTCAAGAGAATGACAAGTTAGAGCATAGTGGTTGGAGCGAAATATAAAACATAAATGTTGCAATGGTGACTGGTTATAAAATTAGCATCGTTAAAAAGAGAAAGTTTGATAAATGGAAGCAGAAGAGATTTCGATGGGTCCCAGCCTCTCTTAAACTAAGAAAAGAACTAAAACGACCAGGTCAAAACAAAGTGCAATTTTAATAGTCATGTTTAATAGTAATGTTTAATAGTAATGTTTAATAATAATATTAATGTTAATAGCAATTTTAATGGTAAAGTTCAAAGTGGTGTCCCCAAATGACGATTTTCATACGTCCCCAGTCGGAGCAGTGGGTCGTTTAGTTTGAGGACGTCTTAGCAACATAACTAGGCCGGTTTTGTTTCTAAAACAGCACCTGAACAACTAAGGTAATCTTTACAATAAAAAACAGACTAAAATATTGACCGAATGCGTTCGCGGATGGAAACAGTAAAAGTGTGCGTATGTTGGTGAATTGGGCAGGTGGTATGTTGCTATGCTTCTAGTAAATATCATGTTTGACAACATTAACAATTGTAAACTTCTTAGCGTCGTTGAATAAAACACGGAAACGGTGGCTCAATGCGATTAAACAGATCACGATAGTAAACATTTGAGTTAGAATTGCTGTTTTGGAAAAAATATTCATAAATTTCTTAATATTGATAACATTATTATTGGAGACCTCCATATCATGGGTTATGCGCGACTAAGACATCATGACAACTCCAAAGAAAACAAGATCTTCGAAGGAAGGCAGAAAACAAAGAAGAAAAGACGGGGAAATGAATGGTGAAAGAAGGACCAAATAAAGGAGGAATGAATGAAGGGAGAATGAAAGAAGGAAGAATATTTTTAAAATAAGGAGAGACTGAAGAAAAGAATAAGCGAATATAGGAAAGAAAGAAATGAAATAGAAAAAACGAAAAAAATCGGATTGGTTTAGAGTACAATAAAATAAAAGAACGAGAGAAGAATACAATAAGATTGGTTTAGAAAGAAATAATAAAGATAAAAGACTAAACTGAAGAAGAGAGAAAAAACGAAAGAAAGAGAAATAATATCTATCAAGGTTACAAAAATATCAAATTCTACTTGGCCATAGCTGAGGCTTTCCAACTATTTTCAATCTAAATAAAAATGACAGAGCTATGTATAAATCAGTAAATTTGCTTGCCCCTGATGAAGATGACACCTTTCCTTTGTACCTTAAAACTGCTATCCAAGAAAGACTTTAAGTACACTAGCTACTCTTTCTTTTCTAATTTATATCAAGAATTCATTATATTGCCCTAAGCTAGATCGTTTAATTAGCTACGTTTTACAACACGTCAGTTTTAAATACGGTACTATTTACTGAGACTTTCACGCGATAAATATTCTAAAATTAAAATGAAATCACAGTCTCGTTATTACGTCCACACTTATGTATTTTTCTCTCTCGTTTCGTATCTTACTTTGAATTCAGAAATCATTTAAGTTTTAGCTACACCGGAGACTGGGGCTTAAAGCACGGGCTCCACCCATGAATGAGTACAGCCAGCATACGTATTTGGAAAACGTATCTGCAAAATTGAAAATTCTCTTGATTCACCATCTGATACATAACAAACAACAAGTTTTGCAAAAATGACTCAGCTATGATGACACAATTATGAGTCAATAAAGGCCTTGACCAGATTTATCAACCAACGGTTACCCAATGTGCGTAACATTTGGAATCTTTTACATCAATATGCGTAAACAGAATCTTTTAGCTCCGAGGCATGGTTTTGCAGCAACCAGGAAGAAAATATGGATTCTGAACAAGATAATTGATTAAACAAATCAACGCCGGCGTATACATAACCAAATTTTACTTAATGATCACATATCAATCAAAATTGCAAACGCAATAATGCCAGATCGCAAGAAGAAGAAATTTTATTGAGAATCTTCTAGAAATTAGTTTTTCGTTTTTACGCATGTCTACGTTTGCCCATGGAAACTTAAAATGTTTTTTCTGTTGTGTGCTGAGCGGTGTGGTTTACAAAGAGCAAAGAACAGCTGATTTTCTGCCACATGAGCAATTCTAAAGAAAATAATTGTGATCAATCTAGAAATGAACAGAAAAAGTTTGCTCACTTCCAAAGCTAATATCACCTTGAAATTGTCTTAAGAAGGATGCGCAAAGCTTTTCAACCTCCACTGCACAAATGTTTTTGTAATAGAAAAGGGGTCTTTTGACAGCCCGAAATGAAAACAATCCGGCAATTTGCAAAAATCTTTCTTTACAATTTCTGACGGATTAAGCTTAAACTTGAAAATCACGAAACTTTCCAATCAAAAGTTCTTTACTGTCCGACTTTAATTTCACGCAACCAATACAACAATGTTTGAATAGAGGAATATTTTGAATTACATCAATAGCGATAAAAACCAAAATTGAAACAGAAGACTAATTCTAAACACCTTTTTGTATAGTAGCATTACTTCTTCGCGTAGTGATTTCAAACCTTCATCACTTTTTTTAACAGTTTGGTAAGATCAAGAATAGTAACCGTGTAATTTGCTTCAGCCATGACAGAATAAGCTTAAACATGAAAAATTCCTTTCATGAGAAATTGCTTTGCGATGTTAGGTAAGCGATAAAATTCTTAGCAAAATATCTATAAAAAATGTTATGAATGAGTGCATCTAAGAGAAGCATAACTACATTTAAAAGAGCCTGTTCGATTCCAAGTCATCTAATCTTGCTAAAAGACAGACTTGAGAATATGATCCTTTACAATGTGCTTTATTCATAGAAACCAAACTGGCACGTGATATACACGTGAGAGGATGGCAAAGGTCACGTGAAACTTAATCATTCGCTAATCATTTTTTCTCAAAGTTTCCGAGGCAAGAAATATAAAAATGAGTGAATGTCATAGATATCTTTCCAACAAAACCAAATTTGTCTTGGTACCTCACTTCCCATTTTTCTATGGCCTACTCCACCGCTTTCTCCAAAACCCTCCCTCATTAAATTTCTTGGTCAAATGTAAAATTCTTCTTAGAAAGCTTTTTTGCACTTATCCTTGATTTAGTTCCTACAAGCAATAATCCCTAGCAAGCTAAAAGGATCGATTAATTCTCCAAATTTCGATATTATTCTTTATTCAAGATTTTATTATCATCATAATATTATCAAGAAAAGCGTCAAACGTCATTATGCATGTTACATTTTATACCATTTTATATTGATGAAAAAGAACGTTATAACAATAATAATAATAATTCATTTATTTACTGTATGCGTTCTTTACAGAAGTAGCTAAAAACGATGAGCTAATTAAAGCCTACTCGGAATATATTGGCAAGGAATACCGAAAGAACGTCACATTTGATGCGACAATCTAATGAAAGATTTTCGAAATGCAAGATATTAGAACAAATTATAGACAGATAGATAAAGAAATAAAAAGAAATATAGATAAGTTCAAATTTGAAAACAAATCCACTAGGTAACCAAAAATTTCCCATTAATCATAACTTGAATAAACAGACTTTTGAATGAATTTTTGAACTTAAGAATAAACGAACTTTTGAAGCTTATATTGATTTGAACATACTGGTAACAAATTCTGGCTGGGCACACATATCTAGAACTTTCAATTCAATCACAACTAATAAGCTGGAAAGAAATTTTTCATTGCCTACATATTTGGATAAACGATATTTTCTTTAAATTTGATGAAAACAGTTTCCTGTTTCCAAGATTGGACCATCTGTTTTTACTGTTGTGTTTGGGTTGTCAATCGAGAAAAAAAGTCTATCTAACATTTTTGATAGACACAAGACGGCACATAGGCATAAAGGGGAACATATTAGGAACTTGTGTTCTCTAGTTTTCGAGAAATTAATAATGAAATTGAAATTTGAAAATTGTTTTAAAAAAGATCTAGATCTCAACTGAAACTGAAAGCAGAATTGTCACAGATCTGTGTTTTTTTCCCAATACGGCGATTGACAAGCTTCGATACAATACTGTGATGTAAACATTGACAACTATATCAACATTTGCGAGGAATTGTTTATATGCAGGGTTGTCGTGGCAACAGACCTGTGATCTTTCACCAATTAAGATATTTTGTATCTTTAAGTTTAAAAGCTGAAAAAAATCTTACTTCTTTGGGTAAAAGGTAGACAATTGCCTTTGAATGCTAAGCACCTCAGAGTCTATATAAGAAAATCTAGTCTTATGGCAAGTGGGACCCGTCAGAATGAGGAATAAATCGACCTTTCTCTGGAACTAAAATTGATAAAGAATCGAGCATTCAGAAAAATTGACAGAAAATTTAGTTATTACGAATTTTTCAAGTGTTTATCGAGTAATTTATCTGAATTTAAGAGCACGTCGTGTGATTTTACAGTGTACGTACAAGAAAAGTTAAGGCAGTGAAAAAACAGACGATAATCATGAAAGCGCTGATTGATGGAGAACATCATGCAAAAATTGCAAGTTCTGTTATTCAAATATTTCTAAGGTTTCTTATGTAATCGATTCATTGAACTTGAAGTACTTTGACTGTTTTTAACATCTTGCTAAAACGCAGCGCTGTAAGGCCTACCTTTTTATTCTGAAAAAAACCTAAACTACAGAAACTGCTATGGTTTCAGACTACCGCTCTTTGAATATAACAACAGTACATCACAGTTTTTGAGTGGGAAAATGTTGACAACAATGAACAGTGAAAGGGTTTTTGTCTTCTTCAAACTTATAAGGGAGTCTAAGGCACCCATTCGTTTAAAAAGTTTTGGCATAGACTACAGACGAGTCTTGTTAAGACTGTCCCCTTATCTACACCACAATGTGCAGTTAATTCTTTGCAACTTCAAACTCTCTTTATTATTGTATTTTTGAAAAGATGGGGGAAGCAATCTGCCCCCAGCTGTAGAGAAAATAAATAGGAACTGCTTAGAAAAAAGTGCAGTGACGTTTGAACTCTCTTTTCTTTTCAATCCCTCAATTGTCGTTTTCTCTTGTCGCTCGTTCTCGTGGCAAAAACATTTACTTAAACATGAACTGCATCGAGTTTTCTTAAAATTGATTTTTGAAGGAATATATCAAACCTATTAATAACTTGAATGCTTGAACTGAAAAGCACGATAAACCTAATGCTTCGTGCCAAGTGCCAGTGGAGTAGATTTATCCACATTTGAAACAACAGGCATATAATTGAATTGGACTGGCTATTAAAAGCTTCCATCATTGATTTGGTCGATTTTTTCAAAGAAGGTAGTCTTGAAACTGAATACACCTATTAACAGCACAAAAAGGAAGAAGTTAACACTTACTACGTTGACTAACGGCAAATAGTTACTATCAAAAGCGGCGATAAAATTCAGCTAAACGTAAGTTCACAAAAGTTCGTTGACCATATTGATTTAAATCATTCAATTATCTACATATTATATTCATAGATGTATATCTTTGCACATAAATTTCATTTAAAATTCCTTTTAAATAATCTTTTGAACATGAAAGACGACAAACTATTTAAGAAACTTTCTTTAAACTCCCAGCATATTTGATTCCGTGGATTTCAGTTTAAGGAGAAGATATGTTTGGCTAAATAGGCATGAGAAGAATAATTGAAACCACGATGTTTCTCTAGTAAAGCAAAATTGAAAGATATGTTTACCAAAATACTGCATTGACACGTGCGAATGATCCTTCAGATAAATTATCTTTAAACTAACCATCTAAATAAACGACCCAGAAGCATCTAAGTCAACAAAAAATCTCGGCCAAGCTGCTTTTTCCAACAACTTCATGAACTGAGCTTGAGGGCAATGCAATCTTAGAGTGAGCTTAAATATTAGGTCAGCTAGTAAAAGTTGTACAGCTTTGCTTTATTTGAAATTTGCTACAATAACGTCTTTGAGCATGTCTCTAATTGTCGATAGAAACAAAATTCTTGTATTTTACACCGAGCTTTAATTTTACATTGTTAAAAATTTGACTTTTGACTATTGAATTTTCAAGAATTTTTCTTAATTTATAAATTTATGAATAATGATTTTCAAAAAACAGTAGAGGAAATTTTTTAAACTGTCTTTAAAGAGGTGAAAGGCAGCCTTTTGAGGCCTGGTACTTGGCATTTATGCTTAAAATATAAAAACAAATGAAATGCTTAAAAGCTCTTTGTCATGAATGCATAAACACTCTACCTACCTTGCTATTTTCTCAAAAGATATCATAGAACGACCATATTTCTTAAGTCGTTTAAGAGATAACAACATTTTAAATAGAGGATTCCTGTACGAAAGGGGTTAGCCAACATGAAGTTGTCCCTTTTATCGCTCTGTATTTGGAGTAACTATGTATTGAACATAGAATTGTACAAACGAGGCTTTAAATGCACAGTGATATGTCAATTGAATAAGCGCGAGCCTTGTTATATTGAAACAATTTCTTAACCGAAATATTTTCAGATAAAACTAATATACATAGAATTATCTTGAGCGAAAGAAGCATTCGTAAGACTTAAAACAATACCAAGTATTATTAATCTTCAATCCATGTTATTCTTAATACGACAAGCAAGGATCAAGTTTGCAATAATTATGGCCTTCACATTAATTTGCATAAGGATCTTACATTGACGTTTAAACATATAAATGAAACTTTAAAAATGACATCCAGTGGAGTTTTTAAGCCGGTTTGAGTCTGGAAAAATGATGCCGAAGATGAAAAAGTAAATCTGGAACAATGAGTATCTTTCTCTCTTTAAGCCATAACCTAGCTGGAATTTTATGCTGATCCCTTATTTTTCAACTTTTTTAAAACCTACTATCTTAGAAAAAAATTTCTTGAAAATCCTAAACAAAAAGCGCGATTGTTTGGTCTTAACTGTATGATGCTGCCTGTTTTCAGAACCAAAAAAAACCTTGTTAAGAATCTCGTTAACATGTAATTAGCTCGGTATGTAGATAAAGAAGATTCAAGTTGTTATCTTGTTCCTTACTCTCTAGAAAACTAAAACTATAGCTAGCTCTGTTCACATGACATGAAACACTGCTTAAATCTTATAATTTCGACACATAATTCTGATGATTTTTTCCATTTGATGACGCTATTTTATTTAATTCATAAAGAAAGAGAGCGTGGAAGATGCCATATATTATCTGAAGAAAAACAGGAAATGAAATCATTGATAGTGAGTAATATCCTCTGGTTTCAAACTTTTGAAGAATTTAGTCCGAAATACAAATTACGGCTTTTAGACTGACATTCTCAATCTTTTTTTACAGCAATGAGCAAACTTGTCAACAAAAATTTGAAAAACATCCAATGCATTCTTTTTACTTTCTTCCTTCATCTAGAACCTTAGAAAATTGTCGAATCAAAAGCCATAGATCTAATGAATTTTTTTTAAGGAGATGGGCGCATAATTGAGTTGCATATCAGTAAGAAGCGACAAGAATACAATATAAGCTCAAATTGTCTCACCTAAATTTGCAACGTTAAATATAAATTGTACAAATTAATGGCTTAAGTTATTTTCTTGGTATTTGCTTTTTCATGAGAAAGACAACAGAAACAGTGACATTACCAAGAAATAGCAGTAAGGTAGATACTCTGGATAAAAAGATTTCGCGCCCTTTTTTGTCGATGGGACAATGTTGTTGGTCACTGTTGAAATATACAAATTTGTATCATACTCGAATGCAAATGTTAACTGTTCATGTAGCACCATTTTGCAGAAACAGTTACCAGTCTACTATATTTTCAGTTTTGCCCTGATCAAACATGTAGTTTCTAAATCGTAATTCAAAACACTCAGATATTATTCCAACGCTTATACTCATTTGAACTCGTTCTCTTTCCTTCCTTTTTCCTGTGTGTGTTTTAAAAAGGAAAACAGCTTTACCTTAACGATGATTGATCGCATTTAGTCACAACCTTACATTTGCACAATTGTCACATTTCTGTTAATCCTCCTTCTTATTCTAACTAGGCCTGCCTTCATTTTGAAATGTCATTACGAAATATTGTTACTGTAAAATTCTGACATAACTTTTAAGCCGGTGTAAATCTCACAGATCTCTTGGTTATGTAAAGGACTTTAATGGTTTTCGTTGTTGGTTTAATGGCGAAAAGAAGCTGTAAACATTTAATAAGGTGAAGTAGGCTTTAAAAGTCGTGGAATAATGCAGCAGTTTTCGAACTAATAGTTAAAGAAAATAAGCAATGGTTGATTGGGAAGCGCAAAGGCCTGAAAGGTTGCCAATCCCATCATGTAACGATTTCACGAATAGCGGAGGTTAAAATGGATAAGGGAAAAACTTATTTATTGATTAATGAAGTAACACTTTTCATTTGATAACAGAAAAACTGGTTAACTTATTCAGTACAAATTTTGGCTGCCCAATAGCCCTTAGAGTATGAATGCCTTATTTCTGTGAAAACAGTTTTTGAGAAAAGAAAATCGTAAGTGGAGGAACCATTTATCCTTTTGGTAGAATATTGGGTGTTCGCTAGTGCCAGCCTTGAAATGATCGAGGAATTGGATGAAATGTTAGAATTTATGATCGTGAGGGAGATAAGTGATTTAAGATCGAAGATACGGCTAACTCACATTGTAAAAAGGTCTTGCGTTAAAAGTATGTTACATCTTGCGTTGATACAGGTAAAGCCATGAGATTTACATTGTCAATACCTTCGAATGTTGCCGTTGAATGTTTACAGGAATGAACATAAAATTGTTTTTTGTCATGTCAAACAAAAAATGAACAGTATCGTCTAAAATTTGAGCTTTTAGTAAAACAGGAGAGTATCCAAAGCTTCCTAATTTTAGAAGGAAACAGAAACAGAATCAAAGGCTCGAAGCGACAAAGTAACAACTCTATGGCCTAAAGATAGTTTGTGGTTGTTTCACAGGAAAAACAGACACATAGAGCTGAAAGAATTCCAAAACGAAGTAAGAAGTGAGAGCTCAATTGAGCATGGGCAGTTTGATGAATTGATGTAAATCTTGCGAATCACAGCAAAGTGCTAATAATTATTCTTGTCACAACATTGTAATCCCAATGAAGTGCGAGTGGCTCATAAAAAGAGTACCTAAATGTATATCTCAACGTGTGGTTGGCGGTACAGTCTGTCTGTGTCGTAAGGTGAGCATAGCAAAGCAATCAAGCTACATTTTAATGGGTGACACCTACCTTGAATAGGTTCTATGGCCTGGTCTTTTTCATCTCGTATCGTTTCGTTTTCCCCAATCGTCTTGTCACAGTTGTGATCCACGCTTGTAACTGGTGGGTTTACCAACGCCATTGCTAACAAATTACAATTCTGTGACCCTTCTGCCAACAAAGCTGCCAATTCTAAGCCTGCTTCGATTTGTCTTGTGAATACTCAGTCGCTCTCTTTGAGCTGGCACTTCGCGTTTACTTGTTGAGAGACTTTATTAAGATGAACCCAGACACTGCGCTCACAACAGTTTCTCAATTCAAAGAAAGGCTCTTCCGACGCAAAGCGAGGACGCTATATTAAATGCACAGTTTTCTTTTCAAGGATCCAGCTAGCGCTGTGAATGGAAAGCTAATGCTTCTTCTCTGCTGTACAGATTCTATCTTCTCAGTAAGCCTCCTTCGAGTGGCTGCTTAGTCTCTGACTGAATTTCTGACCTAAGATTACTTCACTGGCCTCTTGGCAAAATCCCCAAGCCTTGCGACTTTCCTCGTTTGTATTTCTGAGCACCAAAACCAACAGACAGATTCTCATTAAAATACGATCGGCTCTGAAAAACTTGCTTGTTATTTTAATTGACTAGTGAATTGTTGCACCCAGTTGTGACCCTAAACTTAATCTTGGTAATTCGCAAAAGATCCAGACGCTCTCGAAGAGTGGAGATACTGCATTAAAACACAATTAATCTTGAGATGGTGTTTGCCGTTACACAATCCATGTCAATCAGCTCAAGTGTACACTCTTTCTTTGCCCGCGTATAAAAAGGTTGTCTTTCCTTTGCGTATCTATTACCGACGGTCAAGTGCTTATGCTGACTCGTCTGTGTACTGCGCAAGGGCGTTTGTGTTTCTGTCAGTCGGCAAACGGGCCCTTTCATTGGGTAAAGAGCTGTTTGTTTAGTGAGACGAAATAAAGCCTCGATGGTATTTGACTCTCGAAAACTTGTACAAACACACGATACAAGACGTATGTCAACAGCTCTCTGTCAGCCGACAATGCCAAAACTGATTGGAGGCATAAGTTTGTGCTTGAAGTTTGCCTAATTGCAATGTTGTTTATTAACACTTCTGACAGCATATCTATCTCACTTGCATGCATGCAAAGGTCGATGTGTAGATAGAGAAAAATTTTTGAGCGATTGAAACAACTTAAATCAATCTAATTGTAACGGTAGGTTAAAAAAGATTAGAACATCGCATAGATCATCACCATCGCTTATTCTCTTCTTCTCTTCACTGAACTAATGAATCCCAGGAATAAAAAAACACCAAAAGAATATGCCAAACATCGGTAAATGAAATTAAACAAACCGTAGTTATTTAACTGCTCTGCCAATCAAGCGATCATTCGATAATCCTCCAATACAACATTTACAATAAAAAGAAACGTGATTTCTGCAATCAGTTCATCAATGATTTCTGTCCGGGATTGATAGATCCTATAGTGCGAGGGTGTGTACTCATGATGATGAGAGCAATAAACCTCTTTCTTTCAATGAAAAATTAAGTTCATAATTTCTTAATGAGTAATTTGATAAAACATCACCTCGAATCCATTAAAAACATTAATCTGGTTCTCACAACGGATATCAGCTTAATTAATCTCAACGATCAAGCAATCATACAGTCAGATACTTTGATGGATCACTAATCAAACTAATCACTTCCACCATAATGATTGCCGAAGTTTATCAAGCAACCCCCTATAGCACCGGTTTTTCCACAATCTTATTTCCACCATCTTCAGCCATGACATTCTTATTTTCCCTTTCTACATGCTACGTCACAAAAAAGGAAGATAGGCCCTATTTTCAGGTCGTCTAAGATTAATGGCTTTTAAATGTTGCGAGATAAATGTGACAAGTTTTTCCGGAGGCCCTTAGTCAACCAACTTTGGTTTCAGTTGAAACGGTTTCTTGAGGGAAATTCGCTCTCGTTCATGTCATCTGTGGATTTGCATCTAATTAGGGAGGTTGGTTCAATAAAAAACAAAAAAACTATTAAGCGCAGTTCGGCTTGAAGATAGTGATAGCCTTCATGGAACAAGTGAAAAATATCAAGACTAATTTTGAAGATAAATCTTACAAAAACTAGGAGACGGATGGCTGATCCAAGCAGAATCGGAAGGTCTTCTTCGAAATGAAAAATAGAAATCTACAAAGTTTACACGCTGTACATTTTCAAAAATTACAAAATTATTAGGAAGAGGACAAATGACAATACCCCTTGGTACAAATTTCAATACAGAAAATCAATGGCATGTATGAATCCCGGTAGATCTTAACAAAACATTTTGCTAGATGATGCTACTTTCAAAAAGCGAAGTGCTTTATGAAGGCAAAAAAATTACAAAACATTTTTGTCTAAGTAGTATCTAGACAAATAGAAAATAAAGAAAACAGATTAAAATGAAAAAAATGATGACAAGTCAAGCAAAATGCTCTAAGGAAGAAATCGTCTGAATCTTAAATTAGCAAGGCTTCCATTTCAGACATAATTTGCAAAGAATGCAAGATTTATTTTTGGGAAAATGTTTCTTTTCTTCAAAAAACAATGCACTACCAGCATTTACTAATAGAATAACCTGGTTTTCTTTTTAAAGTCAATAATTTTATTGTGTGAGACCAGCAATCATTTCTATCTCAGTAATTACATTCTGTTCAATTCACTTTGGAAGGTTCAAGTAGCAGAAATGCATATTGATTCTTGGTACACACAACACCAACGTAGGCAAAAATCACACTGAAGTTCTTCAATCAAATATAGGAGTGAATTAACGGCATGTCAGGCAACCGTTCAGATTTAACAATAGGCTTTGCACCGATTGGATACTTAACAATACGTCTATTGTGTAGTTCAACCAATGAAATATTTAAATGCCAAGCGAAATACGTCGGGACAAAAATCCTCTGAAGGTGCCCTGCTTGCAAACATTTACAGGTAGGAAACTTATCGTTCATCCCAAAGGAACAAAATTTCTACTGAACAAGAATCTATGAATATCTCAAATTAAATGGAAACTTGCGTTAAATCATGCCCGCGAGAAAAATACTGGTATTCTGTCAATTTGAACATGGGAACAGTGCGGGTTAAAACGGAAATTTTCTCTAGGGGGAATGAAGGGACCCTCGTGTCTTCTGGAATGCAATTCTTTTAACAGAATGGGTACCGATCTAAATACCGATCTTTGTCCCATGTGTAAATGTAATTGGCATCAAAAGCAAAATAGGAAAGAGCTAAGGCCACTTACTTAGACAAAGAAAAATTTAAGTCAGCATTCGTAACCTTGACTCGTAAAATGATGGACACAGCATAGAAAATTGACCTGCAATGAAAAAACTTCCATTATAATAATTAACTTTTAATAGAACAAAGCAATCTTAGAAGAAAGTTACAAAGATTTACAGAAAATCATAGGTACACAAAATCAAAAATGGTGTGCACCTATTCCTTATTCATTGTAAATGAAGCTACTACCAGACTTTGTTAAAGTAGGAAGGAAAAACTGTGTAGCTAGATATTAATGTGTGATCAGGTGTAAATGAAACGTTAATATGGTTCCTTTGTACCTATAATATGTACCTATCTCCTTTGCATTTAAAAATGAGACGAATTAGGAATACTCTACTGCTAGTTCAAGAAAAATTTCTTATAAGAAAGCATATGATAATTTACCAAATGATGACAACCAATAAAAAAATAATGATGATACATATCATGAATAAAATGAAATGAATAGAAAATAACAACTATTCTAATTTATTCTGTTGGTTTCTTTGATGTGACAAGAAAGTAAAGACAAGAAATCAAAAGAGAAGGATTATTTGCTAATATTATAAATCTGAAGATTTTGACAGAAGTTACAATTGTGCTGAACTGGCAGCTACTTATTTTGATTCTTACACTTTAAGAAAGTCATGTAAAAATAGATAAAATTATTAGGGGTTGAAAGAATAGGGTACGAGAGAGAAAAAGGATAAGAACTAAGGTCGATAGCGAAGCACAATTCACGAGACAATCCTTATTGTCTGAAAAATATCTTAGATGAGGTAAAATGAAAAGTTACTTTAGTTGGCAGGTCCTTCAAGAAAATGGCTGTGGTTCTCTGACGTAAAGATTCCTGGTGGGCAACATTTACAGGCAATTCATATTCGTTTCCTAATATTTCTAGAATGACAGTTACAGAATTTCAGTAGTAAAACAATTCTTTCATTCTGCACAGACAAGACTTTTGTTTCAACATTTATAGATAGCTGCAAAATTACTTTGCTGTATTTTATTTGATTTAAAGTTAAGAAATTATCAAGAAATCAGAAACCTTTACTTGGGATGATTTATTACAATTTGGGTCGATAGGAAATATCGTTTTAAATGGCGCCAGGCGGCTTTGTACCAGGATCCATTGCATTGTTTCAATGAATCAAAACTGGATCTCCTGAAATATGACTATCAACCTTGCAGTAGAAAAATGACGGCACCGTATTAAGCATCTTTTTAGCAACGAAAAAGCCAGTCACATTTCTACCAAGTTCATCACCAAATAACTAAAGAAATGGAAACAGTATCCGTGACACCGAGTATATTCAAAAAGGAGAAAATGCTTTTAAGCAAACTATCGGTTACCACATAGCTCGTAAATCTTCCATCAGCAATCTACACGACATAAAAAATCATATACAATTAAATTTTCTAGTTAATCTTTTTGTTGACTCTTCGCGTGTCGAGGTTACGTAGGCCTAATCTTTCGTGTGTTTTGCGAACAATACGGCTACTGTTTTGTCACGTTACACCCTTGTGATTCCAGCAACCGTGGGAGTCTTAATAAAAAAGCGCCAGTGAGCATTAAGTGATTTTTTTGGTAATTGCATTCCATATTACCCACCGCTTCGTTTCAAAATTGTATGATAAATTTCGACACATAGACATTTGTCTCATGCAACAGATCACTGCGCCAGGCGTAAATGCGCCACCAGTATTTATCGCGCACTTATAATCTTTGTAAGTTTTACCATGGTGAAATACAGGACCTTTAAAGCCACTTTATCCAGATAGAGTAGAAGATCCAGAAACGCTTAACGGGTAAAGTTAAGCTATCAAGAAGGGTGCTTTTGTCAACGGCGAGAGAACGGTCACCATCTGTTTTAATCAATAAAATGTTCTTCCGTGTCAAGGGAAGTGTACTTTGTAGCAACGAAACAAAAATAACAAAGGCTAAGTTTTCAAAGCGAATGTAAAAGAAGTAAAAAATTAGCTTAACTTCACTTTTCTGATTTTTTCTTTTGACTTTGAATTAACGATGCCATTCACTTCACCTCTGTTTTTAAAACAAAGTAACAGTCTAATAATAATAAAAAAAGGATTTGAAATTTTTACAAAAAATTTGGATTTGTGTCAAACTTTTTACTTATCAATTATACAAGATGAACGCCGTTTTGGAACATTTGTCAATGTATTTTGAAGAGAAATGCTATATTTAATGAGAGAATTGTGGTAGCCTTGGCTGCAGATCAACATTTTTATCCTTATAGATTTAAAAACAATATCAGTACCAGTATAGATAATGAAATCTTTAAGAAAACCGGCATATTAACAAAATTTTAGCATTGTATTAGCAACAGTGCACTGGGCGATCCAGAATCTACCAAATAAATCTTCCAAAGCTAGCATTTTCAGCGTCCCAGAAGTCATTTCTTTGATTCTTTGTCTGTTTAAATATGGTTTTAACGATCTGGAATTTTCAAATAGCTCTAATTTACGAGATTTTCATTTTTAACTTTTAAATGTAACTATACAAGCAAAGCTCCAAGACTGACGATATTCCAAACATCAATTTTCTTCAAATACTCAACAGCTCATTTCAATGTGTTG